CTACACCCCCAGCAGGTCCCTGAGGTCCAGTGATCAAAGTTTACTGGTTGTGCAGCGCACCAGGCTAAAGACCAAAGGTGACAGATCCTTTGCTGCTGTGGCCCCCAGACTCTGGACCTCTCTCCTCCTGAGCCTGAGATCAGTGGACTCAGTGGACTCCTCTAAAAAGCAGCTGAAAACTCACTTGTTCAAGCTAGCTTTTGTATGACCTTCTTCACCACTCTCTCTTTATTCTGCTCTCCCCACCTATTCCACCTTCCTCAGGATCCACTGATTTCCCTCTTTCATATTCACTCTCTCTCTTTCTTAACATTTTTAATCACAATTGTCTATTTTTTGCTCATTTTAAAATTATTTTTAACCATTTTCTAAATCCTTTTTTATATTTTTACATTTTTTTGTTTTTGTGAAGTGCCTCGTGATTTTCCTCTTGAGAGGAGCTATAGAAATTATATTTTCTTCTTCTTCTTCTTGGAGATGGTCTTATAGCCTTTACCTTTAACATGCTCGTCAATTTTTTTCTAATATCCTGAGACAATTCTTTCCTTCGCTTCTTCTGGTCCACGTAGAGTGTGTTACACACCATGTCACCAAACAAACAGTGACTACCAAAAGCCCTATGCATAGGCCCACACCTAACAGCCCGTATCAGAGGGCCTGGTATCCCATACTCCCGGAGTGCTCCCCTCAGGGCCTCCCAAGGGACGCGGTCAAACGCCATCTCCAAATCCACAAAACACATGTAGATTGGTTGGGCGAACTCCTACGCACCTTCCAGGGCCCTCCTAATGGTATAGAGCTGGTCCAGTGTTCCACGGCCGAGACAAAAGCCACATTGTTCCTCCTGAATCTGAGGTTCGACAATCTGACAGAACCCCTGAATAGACCTTACCAGGACCTTACTTTTGTCAGATTTAGGTAGTAGGTGAATGTTTATGTTCCACTTTCTTTTCACCTTCTCAGGTGTTTATTTCTGTAATCAGCTGTGCTGTTTGAACTCCTCTGCACCGACCTGGTGTAGGGTTTTCTTCAGGGTTCAAATTAGCTAGAGTGAGCCTGAAAAATGCAAAGGGGAGATGAGTGACAGGATAGGGGCACTTCAGGGGGCTGGACAGATTTAAGCAGGGACCAATGACCCTGTGGTCATGCCTCTATGCCAATCCCCCAAACCCTTTACCTCTACTGCTATGTTTATTTGTTTTTTTGCAGACAATTTTACCCCACGTAACTTATACTTTAGTGAATAAATCTAACATGCAAGTTTTTAGGCAGTGGGGATGAAACCAGAGTACCAGGAGAAAACTCATACAGAAAGGCTGCAGCCTGGATTCAAACCTTCAACATGTTCCTGAACAGTGCTACCAACTGCATCACTATGTAGATAATTGCACACCCATAACTCCTTGTGCTTTAGTCTTGATTCAATTCAATTCAGCTTATTTATAAAGCACCAAATCATAACAAGAGTCATCTCAAGGCACTTCACAAAGTAAACATTCCAGTACAGTTCAGTTCATTAAGCCAGCTGTAAAAAGTTCCTATATAAGGAACCCAGCAGGTTGCATCGAGTCACTGACTAATGTCAGAGTCTTTACAGCAATTCTCATACTAAGCAAGCATGTAGCGACAGTGGAGAGGAAAATTCCCTTTTAACAAGAAGAAACTGTTGCATCACATAGTGCCAAACTTACTTTGTTTCCCTCGCTGCTTGCCGTAGCGCAAAAAAGGGCAAGACATGCTGGGAAAATGGAAAGTGTGTGTGGCTATTACCCAATGACTGTAGCTGTATGTTGAGCAGTAATAAAAGACACTTGGCAGAAGGGTTGTCGTTGAATCTGACCATGAGCCTCTCGAGTCAATACTGAAGAAGCCCATCTCCTGTGCACCTGCTTGCCTCCAGCACATGCTACTACAACTGCAATGATATGATAGCAAAATTCTGCACCGACTCGGGAAAGACATTCCCATGGCTGACACGCTGTCCGGGAAGCTGCTACATGCATACGACTCTGCGTTCAGTGACGGTATGGATGAACAGGTCCGCTCTGTCATGAAAAGCTTGCCTTTTACTGATGGAAAGCTTACAGAAGTGCGGGCTGCCACAGGCACTGACCTACAGCTCACAACACTAAAGCAAACTGTTCAGTCAGGATGGCCTGAGGACCGAGAAATGCCCAACAACCTTAATGGACTACTGGAATTTCAGGGATAAAATTTTCCAGTACGATGGTATTATGTTTAAACGGGACAAGATCAGCGTGCCATCAGCAACGAGGAAAAGCATGTTGGAAAAGATTCACACTGGGCATAAGGGCATTGAGAGGAGTAAACAGAGAGCTAAAGATGCCCTCTTCTAGCCAGGAATGGGAAAGGACATTACCTCCACAGTCAGGAACTGCTCTATATGCCATGAAAGGCATGCAGCAAACCTAAAGGAACCGCTTATATCACATCTAATCCTAGACAGACCATGGCAGGTTGTGGCGTCAGATCTTTTCACACAGAATGGTGAAGAGTACCTCCTAGTCATCGACTATTATAGCCGCTACTTTAAAATGGAGAGGCTCTACTCCACCATGTCCGGCTCAGTCATCAGAAATACAAAAGCCATATTTGTGAGGCACTGTGTACCTGAAAAGTTTGTCTCTGACAATGACCCTCAGTACAGCTGTCAGGAATTCAAAGCTTTTGAGACCCCTTTGCGACGGTTTCCTGCCCACGGCCAAAATCACACAGATTAAATATCAGGCTTAATAAAGCAAATCATGGACATCTCATAAATATGAGAACAAATTCAACTGAGCAGATAACTGGAAAAATTAAATGTGGGTTATTGAACATTAGGTCTATTTTTTCTAAGACTTTGTTAGTTAATGACTTGATTTGTGATAATCAGGTCTCTTTGCGCTTTCTCAGAATCCTGGCTGCAGCAAGAGGACTATGTTAGTTTAAACGAGTCAACTTCTAATTATTTAAATCATCATATTGCTCAAAGTACCGGGCGAGGAGGAGGAGTAGCAACCATTTATCATTCAGACCTATTAATCAATCCCTTACCAATTAATGGTTACAGTTCTTTTGAATATCTTATTCTTAGTTTTCCTAATCCAGATCGCAAAACTGTAAAACCACTCTTGTTTGTAGTTTTGTATCATCCACCAGGCCTTTACTCTGAGTTTTTAGATTGGATCTCAGATTTTTTATCTGATTTGGTGCTAAATACTGATATAATATATGATCTAATATATGTTATATACTGACATAATTCAATTCAAGTTTATTTATACAGCGCCAAATCACGACAAGAGTCGTCTCAAGGCACTTCACATAGTAAACATTCCAATACAGGTCAGTTCATTAAGCCATTCAGAAAAAAAGTTTCCTGTATAAGGAACCCAGCAAATTGCATCAAGTCACTGACTAGTGCCAGTGTCATTCGAGCACTCAGTCTCAGCAGAATGAACGATGACAGCAGGTTTCCAAAGTCGGGAATCATGTTGATAACAGATGTTGTCCCCGTGCTGTAGTGTGGAGAGTGGTTTGGTGTTACGGTCATAGTAGAGCTTTTGTGTAGATTGTCTTATCCTGACAATGACACTGATGAGGGGCAGACCCTCTGTCGCAACCGACATCACCTAATGAGCTACAAAATTAAAACATCCTCAGCTGACCCAGGACCTGTGAGCAACAACACGACAACACCACAGACCTCCAGTCCAGCCAAATGCCCGGGTCCACTAGTTTGTTAACAAGGACGTTTTGCAAACTTCAAGGTCAGGTCGCATTTTTAAACAAGAACCATGCTTGACCTATGACCTATATGTGCTGTTTGACATGGTTACAGCATGTTAGTGAGGCATTATATCCAACATGGACATATGGGACGACGTTTTGACATACGTTTCCTCTTACTGCTACATTATCGATTGCGTGATGTTGTTTATATCATCTTGTTGATTTGATATCCAGGATGTAAGTACATCTGAGTTGTTTAGTTCTGTAAAAAAAAATAAAAATAAATGAAGATGTTGCATTATGTAGCGCCAAACTTACTTTGTGTCCCTCGCTGCTTGCCATAGCGCAAAAAAAGGGCAAGGCATGCAGGGAAAATAGGAAGTGTGTGTGGCTATTACCCAATGAGTTTAGCTGTATGTTGAGCGGTAATAAAAGACACTTGACTGCCTCAATATGAGTTATATTCAACCTATCGTGGAACATTACACGCTGCATCAAGATTGCATCAAGTGTCAGTGACTTTACAGCAATCCTCATACTAAGGAAAACTCCCTTTTAACAGGAAGAAACCTCCAGAGGATCCTGAATCAGTATAAGCAGCCATCCACCACGACTCACTGGGGATCGAGAAAACAAAGCACGCATGCACACGCACACACACGCACGCGCGTGCGCACACACACACACACACACACACAACTGACAGACATGCACACAATACCAAGTAATATTTCTATGGCTACATTGTGATTTCTTAGTAGATATTTTATTCAGTAAGACATAAACATTATTGTCTTTATCTTAGCGAATCTATAATTAATTCAACAGGTAAACTAGTAGTAGCACATTCCATGTCAAAGAAAGTAAAATGTTATTGTCTTTTATAGGGAGGGAGGGAGAATATCTTTTATTTTGTTTTTAAAAAGTAATCGTTTTGTACTCGCGCAATAAAAACAATGGATTAGCTGTGAGTTTAAACCTATGGTCGGTTAAAACTGTCCAAACCTAAATATGTGGAACTTGATTTACCTGCTCAGTGGTAAAACTGGAGCTTGTAGGCAATCAAAGGCACCGTTTGATTTAGCAGAGATCACTCTGACCAAGGCCTCAGGCAAAAATAATTCCACAACAAACTCCTGATGGCTTCAGTCTGATTATTTAGTTTAATTTAGTTTACTGCTATTTATTTTAGAGTAAAATTATACTAATGCTCAGAAAACATGCAAGTGTATTGCTTTTGTTGGGGCGGTGCAACGGGCTTCCGTAGTTTGTGGCTCATCTTTGCGGAAAGTGGTGTTACCATGGCAACGTAAGCTGTTGAAATCAAGCAGCTCGTGTTTCCTTTTTGTAGACTTTCTCCGGTTAGGGCCTTAACAGACGAAGGTAATGTGAAAACGTTTCTGACAGTTTCTTTACATTTTGAATCTTATTACTTTTTTATTTTACTTATTTGTGATATTTTAGTTGTCTTCTCTGCGCTGTTGAAAGCCGTTCAACAAGACATTTCTCCAGCCTTTAGCCTTGTCTCCTTTCCTCTTCAACTCCGGAAAGTAGAGTTTCTTAGAAAAAAAATATTCAGGAGGTAAAAATAGAGGAACACAGAAAGATAAGTTTGCAAAACTTCCTAACTTGCAGCTAAATAGTCAACGTTTTTAGTGCTTTTCGACAGCACTTGAATGTAATTAGCTTCTAAACACAAGTAGCCGCTTGCTCTTGCCCAACCAGGTTATTTTCCAAAGCTCTAATTTCTGAGGCTCATTAAATGCCCCATAGTGCGTAGTTCCCTTAGGTGTTTTAGATGCTGTCACCAGTGGGGAAAAATCAGTGTTTTTGATGTTATAGGGACCTTCAGAGAATATATATCTGACATTTGTTTTCTTGTATTTATTTCTTACTGTATAATGTTTCGTATATCATTAAGTTTATTGTGTTTATATGTATTATTCACATATGTATGAAAGGTACATTTATGCCCAAATGTAGTATCTATGAGCATGTTTTGTACAATGTACAGAAAACCAAAATTTTTTTTGTATTATTCAAGTTACTGGTTTTAAATAAATCCAATTTATATATTTTATATCAGCTGTTGCAGTAGCGCTGTTACCTTGCAAGAAAAAATGTCCTGCGTTTGAATCCTGGTATGGAGTTTGCTTGTTCCCCAAGACTCGCGGGGGTTTCCTGTGGTCTCTGGTTTCCTACAACAGTCCAGAATGTGACTGTTAGGTTTACTGGCCTCTCTAATTTGTCCTTCCGTGTGCGTGTCTGGTCTTGTGTGTCTGTGCTGCCTTGCAATGGCAACCTGCCACCCAAAAGCTGCTGCAGATAAGCACCAGTCCCCCACAACCCTCTGTGGATAAGCAGGAATAGATAATAGGGGTAGACTGATGTATCACTCGATATTTACCACTTTTTATACATCGGCCGGTAATTGTTCTTAGTAAATCTGATGAGACGTCAGGCACATCCTCAGGCAGCCCGGTGCTGTTGCAGAATTGGATTTAAATGTATTTCTACATTCTCTAATAACATCTGCATAACAAATCCTCTAAATTAACTTTATTTGGGTGTCTGACTTTAACACTTATCGGTGCACAAAATTAAGATTAATCAAATTCAGGGCAGAAATTTTGTGCATCAACGGATGTTATTGGTGACATTTTGGCATGAATAAAAGGTCGAAAGATATTGGCCACGCCGGAAATCGGCAGTGCATATCAGCCATCGGCTGCCTATGTCTTCTACATATCGGTATCTGCAATTGAAAAACCAATTATCGGTCGACCTTTAATAGCTAACGGATGGATGGATAATACCAGCGGCATTGACAAGCCCTGTAAAATAGTGAATATATTAAATAAAAACAAATCCTATAAATTTGTGCATTTGTTAAAAGTAATATAAATACATAGAGGGTTACATTTATTAGTGATATTAAAGGTCGGCCTTTTTATTAAGTATTCTATTTCACAAATATGTGTCTGACTTTTCACACACGGAGCAGATTGAATATTTTGGAGATTTTATCTGTTGAAAAATCTATAGCAGCTGCATTGTTTCAGAGAGCAGTGGTAGTAAAGAAGACCTATACTGCATGAATGAATCTGAAGATGGACGTATTCAGTAAAAAATTTGAAACCCATAGAAAACTTTACATTTTTACATAAACTGCTAATTAAAACCTAGACCACATGCTGATAAATGAGTCTTTCATCCATTGCACTTTTTAGATAGCTAACATTTATCATTACTGTTAATAGTATTAGCTGCTAAATGTGACTTATGAGGGCTGCATGGTAGGGCAGTTGATAGCGCTGTTGCCTCACAGCTATCAGGTTGCAGCTTAGAAACCCAGCGGTGGCCCGTATGTGCAGCGTTAGCATCTTCTCCATGTGTGGTTTTTCTCCCGGTGGTTCCCTGTAGGTTCCTTCTACAAAACACAAACAAGCGTGTCATGTTGAGTCGTGACTCTACATCTTCATTAGGCAGTGATGTGTTGATGGCCGCTCTATGCGTCCCTGTGAAGGACTGGAAACCTGTCCAGGGTGGACAGCGCTGGACAGTGGAACCAGTTCCCTGACACCATACTCAGAAATAAACAGTTTCAGGAAATGAATAAATGAGTGACACAATTAGCTCGTATTAACACGCTTTTCCATGCAGTTTAGCTTTTGTCTCTGTTATCGTCTCCACCACAGATGGACGATAACTTCAGGGGACAACGCAGACTATTCCCACATCCACTACCTAAACTGGATGGAATACCTTCAGAAGCGTATAAAGTAAGGATGCTAAATATTTCTTTGTTTAAGAAGAGTTTCTGAGTCCATACTAGTGAACACTTGTGTCTGTTTTTTCATCAGGAGGCTCTAAGGCGCAGTGAGTTCCCTCCTATTCTCGCTCCACCTTTGTGGACTCGGTGTGTTCCATTTAAAGAACAATTCTACCACCGAACTCCCAGTGAGTCTATTGGAAACAACTACAGCCCCCGGGCCAAGCACCTTAATATTGATCGACTGAAAGACAAACAGCACTCTTCTCAAAGTTCCTCTGAAAAACAAGCAGCAGGGTCTTGTATCCATTTTCTGAAACTCAGTGAAACTGGTGTTTCTTCATTTCTTTCCTGGTGATCTTGTTTTGCACACCTCTCCAAACTTCTCCACTAACTTTTAGGGGTAGATTTTTTATCTTAATAGATCTGTCAGCTGCTTGTCCACCTGGACGGGAAACGTTCTCCCACCACAGAAGGTAACCCATTGTGCAAAGACCTAGTTTGATGTAGTCTGGACTGACGGACTCAATATAGACATGATCTGCTAGTCCACGCGACGTTGACTGTTTGCAGGAAATATTGTCAACACAATGCAACAAATGAAGCTTCAAATTTTAATGTTGTTTAGCCGGAACCACTCCATATGACTGACTTATGCTTTCACAGAGACACATCGTCTCACGCTTCAAGCTCATCCAAGGCAGAGCAGGAGCCTGAAAACTCAGAGGCAGCCAGTAGCCGGCCTTTGAGTCCTGGAGAGCAGCTCGACCTCATGTGCAGGCAGGAGGAGGAGTTGAGGGCCTCTCAGACTGAACCAAGTGACAGCGACATGGAAGCAAGTAACTTCCCCCAGGACTATGATGATTGAAATCTCACGTCTCTGACAGCCTTGACCTGTTTCTCACAGAGGTACATGTACTACATCAACAACTGCATCCCCATTTCTGAGATGGCCCCTTACCTACACCAGCATACTGTCAACATCATGAAACTGCTGCCTCCTGAGCCCGAGGATAATAAAAGAGACTTCCAGGTTCTGAGGGAGAACCTGCTAGAGCAGGCAGAACAAGAATACTATTTCAGCAACCAGAAAAGCATAGGTAAAGCAATGCAGCGTGTTAACACCGTTAAGCAAAATGAGCAAGATGTCTTGTCAACCCTGGGTTTTAAAGGTTCCACATCTTGCCATTTAAGCCACTGAGAGCGAAGGTAGGCACAATATATGATAAAATGTTACCGTTGGTATCATTGAGATGTCATTTATCTTAAAAATGAGTTATTTTCGTCAGCCTGTATTTATACCCGGAACTGATACGATTTGTTTTAGCAAAGCTACACCTGCGCCCGCTCCAACAAAACGTGCCCACAACAGCGTCTTAGGCGAGCCTGCTCTACTATTGGCTTAGTCCAGCAGTTTAGGTGTCTTCCTTTTGTCTCGTGCATTCTGACGTGGGTGGGTTAGACTCGCGGTGTCCGTAGTAATTTATTTAGCCAGCTGAAGCAGATTTAATTATTTTAAATTTTTGTTTCATTGATTATTTTCTGCAAAGATTTTGTGTCTCTATGATCTTTGAATTTGGTTGTTTCCAATGAACGCTTTAGTTGATCCTCTGCTCACCTCACATGGACTCACACTGGCTAAATAAACGAGTAAGAAAACAGGTTAGTCCTTATATTTTAAGCAGTTTGTAGGTAAAAGGTTGAAAACATAATACTGGCAGGTGTAGCTAAAAAAAGAAAAAGGTTGAGACCGAGAGGGGAACCTGTGCAAAACTAAATGCTGGCCCGTCACTGGACCACTGAGTTTGTTACGAAACAAAAGTCGCCTAAGACACACAGTACAGGCCAAAAGTTTAGACACACCTTCTAATTCAATGTGCTGTCTTTATTTTCATGACCATGGTAGATTCCCACTGAAGGCACCAAAACTATGAATGAACACGTGGAGTTATGTACTTAACCAAAAAAGGTGCAATAACTGAAGACATGTTTTATATTCTATTCTTTTCATAATAACCATCCATTGCTCTGATTACTGCTTTGCACATTCAAGAGGTAGTCACCTGAAATGGTTATCCAACAGCCTTGAAGGAGTTCCCAGAGGTGTTTAGCACTTGTTGGCTCCTTCGTAAATGGTCATGGTCATGAAAATAAAGACATTTAATGAGAAGGCATGTCTAAACTTTTGGCCTGTACTGTATGTCCTGAGCTGGCCACTACGTGCATCTTTGTAGACAGGACTCATGGTTTAAAGGCGTGTTTTTACCCCAATCCAGAAGTAATTTCTCAGAATATCCGGATTTCAGAAACGAGACCAGACCAGCTTCAGGAGGAGAAATGCCTGATGACCCATTAAGGATGCAGGAAAAATCTTTACATGGACCAAACTGAAGCTGAGGCAGGAAAATGCATGAATGCAGCCAAAAACGAGTTTGGGGGTAATTCCCATGAGGAAATGACAATATCACATGGTATAAAGCTCCAGAAGTTGATTTTCCATGAGAAGAAACTTTTAATGAAACTCCCAGAAAGTAAATAATACATGCACAGCTTTTTGGAGTCTACTTTATTGTAGATGGCTGCCACAGCTAATCGGCATTAGCAAACACAGAAATAGTTCAAACTCAGCCATACTGACAGATACTGAGCTATAATTCACTGTGAGACTCATCCCAAACATATTCTATAAGAGAATAATTACACAGAATTATTGTTTTAAATGTTTTCACAAGATAACCTTCTGTTTGGAGAAATCATTGTCTATCTTAACAAATTATCCAGTGAACAGCTGAAACTTTCAGAAAGTAATAACTGGATTTACATCTACGGCTAATCAACCCATTTCAGCATGGCCACCACACTAAACCGACCTCAGCAAGCACAAACGGGCTATAACTATAACGAGTGAATTCAGCCGCTGTATCTTTGCTTAAAGCTTTGCCATCATTCTGTGGAGTCAGTACCGTTAGCTACATTTCTGATTCACAAACAGACGAATGTCTAGAACGTGCAACGTGTGTAGGAAAGATTAATCAAAGATGTTTTACATTTTAAATGTAGTCAATTACCTAAATAATCACCTTCTACAATCATGTTTTAGTGGATTATATTCTGATGGACCCATCAGAGCGTCAGCGATTGTCCATATTCAGCATTCCCAAGCCTTTTCCCAGGAGGGTGATCAGTGCACCAGTTCCCTGGTCACTCAGCTACAAGGAAGCCAGACTGTGGCAGAGCCAACATCTCTTTGTGACCTGTCCCATAATGATTCAAATGCAGGACTTCTGGAACGAAAGGTAAAATGTTCTAACGGCTTGTAAATCTGGTTTACTTGTATTTAGGTAGGAGGTATTTTAGTTTCAGAGGTCATGCTATTGGCTATTAGCTTGTCATTTTAGAACACCGTGCTTTCAATTAGTGAAATGCCTAATTCAGTCACACTGAATAACTGATATTTTACAAAGAACCCAACATCCAGCTGATGTGCCCATCAGAGGTGACGGGTTGAGACGTAGAATTTCTGTTATGCTTCAATCAAACAGTTTAGGTAGGATTCAAACTCAAAAAAGGTGAAATTTAAGTAATCAGATTTACTTTTTTCTGTTCCAGATTATCATGCTTAAGATTTGTAAAACTGGAGAACCTCAAGTCCACCACCTGGTCCCTCCCGCTCCCCCCATCTGAGTTTGAACAGTTTGTCCAGAGGCAGTGCCAAGCTGCCAGAGATGAACTGCTTCAGTCGTAAGTATTCGCCGGTGAGGGTGAGCCAGTCAGATAGCAAGCCAGTGTGCTATTCGATTGTTGTGTCTGTTGTTAGGAGCAGCAGGACGTCTGTCTGCACCGCTAAGATATGAGCCATTATTAGTAGGAACTGCTGTCTGCAGTTTCTGCCCGCTTGAGTACCTTCCTGCTGCTTTCACTGTCACACACTTGCAGCCTGAATTCACAAAGATGTTTTATTTTTATGCTGGGTTTCAAAAATGTCACTGCAGATTTATGTGCTCAAGGTCTGAGACACTATTTGGTTCAACCAAGGAAACAGACTATAGGATGACATGTAAAAGCTGTTTATTGGATTTTGGGTTAGGGTTGTCCATCCATCCATCCATCCATTCATCCATCCATCCATCCATCCATCCATCCATCTATCATTTTCTTCCACTTATCTGGAGTTGGGTCCTGGGGTCAGTAGCCTAAGCAGAGGCCCAGACTTCCCTCTTCACTGCCACTTTGGCCAGCTCCTCCGGGAGAATCCTAAGGCGTTCCCTGGCCAGCTGAGTGACATAGTCCCTCCAGTATGTCCTGGATGTTCTTTTGGGTCTCCCCCTGGTTGGACGTGCCTGAAAAACTCACCAGGGAGGCATCCTAACCAGATGCCCGAGCACATTAACTGGCTTGTCTCATTATGGAGGAGCAGCGGGTCTACTCCAAGTCCCTCACGAATGACCGAGCTTCTCATCCTATCTCTAAGGGAGAGCCCAGCCACCTTGCGGAGAAATCTCATTTCAGCCACTTGTACCCGCAATCTCATTTTTTTTTGGTCCCTACCCAAAGCTCGTGACCATAGGTGAGGGTTGCAATGTAGATCGATCATTAAATCGAGAGCTTCTCCTTCCGGCTCAGCTCTCTCTTCACCACGATAGATTGGTACAACACCCACATCATTGCAGACGCAGCATCAATCTGCCTATTGATCTCCATCTTTCCCTCATTTATGAACAAGAGCCAGAGATACTTAAACTCCTCCACTTGAAGCAGGACCTCGTCCCTGACCCGGAGAAGGCATTTTATTTTTCTAGGTTGCATCTAGTAGATATTCTGTCCATAAAAGTTATGAACAGAATTGGTGACCATGAGCACTGCTCATTGAGCAGCCTTGGCGGAGTCCAACTCTCACTGGGAATGAGCCTGACTTACTGCAAGTAATGCGGACCAAGCTCTGACACACAGGGATCTAATCAAGGCCCTAGTACCCCACACTACGGGCGTGCCCATCCTAAGGACATGGTTGAACGCCTTCTCTAAATCCACAAAAACACACGGATTGGTTGGGCAAACTCCCATGCACACTCCAGGCCCTGCCCAAGGGTATAGAGCTCGTCCAGTGTTCCACGGCCAGGATGAAAACTAGATAGCTCCTCCTGAAGTGAGGTTCAACTCTCCGACGGGCCCACACATTTTTACAAGACACACCTTGCCAGCAAATCAGCTTAATATTACTGCAATGGTGTGTCTTATAAATGCGCCATGCTGGCATGGCATTGTGCAAATTTTGCTGCATTCGTTCTGCCTTGCTTGGTAGTAAAATTGTGGTAATGGTCTGTCTTATAAACGGCTTTTGCACCATGGCACAACAGAGGGAGGTGTCATGGTGACATGGGGAGTTACTGCTGGCCTGCAAATGTATTGAAAATGAAAATAAACACATCTATAAGTTTGGCTTTTTGAACAAAATCAGCTGAGACGGAAAACTGGAGTGCCACAGCTCTCGCTCAGCGTCTCTCTGTTAGAGCTGGAGCTCAGATCATCAGAGACTGCACGGGGACTGATGGGGACAGACCATGGACGTAGTTTTGGGAGGGGGACTTTTTCCAAAATCAAACTTTGTCCGCTGCATTTTTAACATCCAAAACCAATATTACGCTATATTAAATAGGCACTGGTTGAGCACTAGGACCAAGCAGAAAACAACCGCTTGTGTTGAAGCCCGTCTCCCATTAAAACCATCCTTTAGCTCATCTATTGGCTCTGCCGATACTTGCTACCGTGTGATTGGCCGTTCCTGCCACCTGTGTACTTAACAGTTCTGCATTCATGACATTGCATAAATGAGCCTCTAGGCGGTAGTTTTATACATATTTTTTGCTCCCCCCAGTCGACCTACCAGTTGTGCCAAAGTCAAAATTACGTCCAAGGGACAGGAATGGTTTGTTAAAAAACTTAATGATCGCAGCTTCAATCGCAATAAAAAGAAAGTTATGTCCAAGATGAACGGTAATTTATTAGTCTCTTTTAGTGTGTTTCTTTCTCCACTGGTTTTCTAGTTCTCCTCAGATCATTAGTTGTTTACCTTTATCCTCTTGTCTTCAGGTTTTGTTCTTACTCTTAGGTCAAGTTACTCTCCCCTCACTGATTAATTAATTAATTGTTTTCACTAGGTTCCTCTCCCCACACACCTGCAGCTCATCTCCCTCTCATCCTTCCCCCGTGTATTTAACCCTGTCTGTGTCTCTGTCTGTGGTCGGTCCATTGTCTTATATCAGCGTTGTTTTGTCCCTCCCTACTAGTCTCTAGGTCTCTGCTCATAAGTGAGCTTTGGTTTTTGTTTTTCAGTGTTAGATATTAGGTTTGGCTTACTGCCCTTTTGGATTTTTTGTTCCCCTTCCTAATAAAGGAATGTTTTCATTTACATCTACTCCTGCCTTGTGTCATTCTGGGTGTCTGCATTTTGGGTCCTACTCCTCCAATCCTCAACGTGACAGTCACCCCCTAAGTAGACACAGCAGAACAAGGGCAAAACACACAGGCAGCTAGCTGTGTTCATCAATAAAACGCCTCCGTTCTTATTTTTATTTCCAAGCATCAAAACAAAAAAAACGACATTTTTTAAAGCCCCTGTCCCCTTTGATAGATATCCAGGCTCCTGCTGCAACTCTTCTCTGTATTCAAATCAGTCTTCTATCCATGTTTTATTCTTGTGACTGATGAATCAAGTAAAAATATTCTGAAGGTTACATTTTTATTATAGATTCTAGCATGATGGCAGTAATTTTGGTTTCGCACTTTGTTCTTTTATAGGTTTTAATCACAACCTAAGAGGCTAACTCGGCCACCTACTAATGTAAATGAATGTCGTCTTAAAATGTGAACTCTGGATAGTCAACTCAATGAGTAATCATGATAAAGAATGAATATTTTAACTGTAACACTGTGGATCCCCTGCTTCCTTATTTCAGGAGAGGGTGTTGATATAAGTGACACTGGCCAGGTGCAGCTAAAATAAATTTGAACAGAAACATGTTTAATTATCAGTTATGTTAAAGCTAAGGCTTATCAGAAGCCTCTTGTTGAAGGTGGCTGCCGTTCTGTGCATCGCTATTTGTCAACCTCGAGAGCCTGTCCCTCATACCCAGCACCAAGCTGGCGGCTCACGCTGGATTCCAGGAGATCTTCAGCTGTGCGGCAGCGCTGATGTCGCTGCAGCTCCGAGGCCTTGTCTCAGCCTCTCTACAGGACCTGCAGGAATTCTTTATGATACATCAGGTTTGGACTTTTTTGTAACTTTATTTAATGAATGGTTTATGAGTTTAGATAATAAGAAAAACCCAAATCCTTTCTGATGTTTCAGAAGCTTTTATGTGTTTCGTGCTGTGAGTATCTGTTTTTTTTTTCTCAGCAGGGAAATGATTTTGGGGAGATGTTCGATGAGATGAAGCACATTCAACCTCAGACGCTCCTGGTTGAGCTACAAGTGGAAGACACTCACATTGAGTTTATTCCCAGCCTCCAGGAGTGTTGGGAGGTCATTCACAGGGCCTTCATGGAAATAGTCAAGAGTGCTGAGAAGCTCCCAAGAGTAAGAGGACCTTAATATGATACCTGATCTTTAAAGAGGCCCTTCACTGAAAAAACTGTGTTTATTGATCTCATAAAACACTCGACAGATTTTAATGAGTCCTCAGGAGACTTAAGATGGCAACCACATATTGTTATATAATATTACATATAATAATGTTATTGTTATTATTATTTTTTGTTTTGTTTTTCGTAGTAGTAGTAGTAGTAGTAGTAGTGGTAGTAGTAGTAGTAGTAGTAGTGGTAGTAGTAGTAGTAGTAGTAGTAGTAGTAGTAGTAGTAGTAGTAGTAGTAGTGGTGGTGGTAGTAGTAGTGGTAGTAGTAGTAGTAGTAGTAGTAGTAGTGGTAGTAGTAGTAGTAGTAGTAGTAGTAGTAGTAGTAGTGGTGGTAGTAGTAGTGGTAGTAGTAGTAGTAGTAGTAGTAGTAGTAGTAGTAGTAGTAGTAGTAGTAGTGGTAGTAGTAGTAGTAGTAGTAGTGGTAGTAGTAGTAGTAGTAGTAGTAGTAGTAGTAGTGGTGGTAGTAGTAGTAGTAGTAGTAGTAGTAGTAGTAGTAGTAGTAGTAGTAGTAGCATTTCAGTTGTTCAGACCATTCAGTAATGACTTGTCTGTTTGGTCAGGTGGAATGTGACTTCTTCTCTCATGTCAGTAACTTGTATCTGCGCACCGTCGGACCTGATGACTCGCTGGTCACAAACATTGTTGATGAAGTCAAGGAGGTGTTCCATAAGAATACAGTGGGACCCAAAAAGTAATGAGCTGTAAACCTTGTTCTTGATTCCTACTGGCTCAGCAGGATTGCTAATATCACATGTAATTCTTCAGATACCTGACTGCATATGAGAAGTACAGTGACCTGCTGGACAGTACAGCAGACCAGGATGTGTCAGTTTTCCTCAAAGAACAGCACACTTTGGATGAAACCGCCAAAGTAATTCAGCTTTGCTATTTAAAAGCTGCATAAAGTTATTGTCTGCTTTAGTGATAAAGTTCTGCCACATTGTTTGAATCCTCAGAAGATTGAGAGCATTGATGAGTTAGAGAAGGAGCTCGCCTCGCTGCCTGTCACGGTTCCTCTGTCCATGTTTTGTCTGCATGCCGGAGAGCTGAACGCTGACCTGAGTGACTGTGCCAGGAGTTTAAAAGACAAGATCATCATGTTTAAAGTGGAAGAGAATCGCAACCTTAACCATCAGTAGGAGGAAATTCTAAAAGTACCTATAGAAACTAAAAATATCAGTTATGAAGTGATTTTCCCTCATTAGTATCTGTCAGAGGTTTGGGGAGATCCAAGACACGGTCCAGGGCATGCCTACAAATAAAGAGGACCTGGAGACACTCATGGGCTACATTAAAGTTAGCAGAGACGTGACCATCCCCAGTTTGATGGAAGAGGTCAGTGCTGCTGTCCACCGCCTGCTCTTCCTCCTGGACTACGCCACCATGGAACGTAATGCTACCAGATTTGTTTATTTCCCAGACCTTTGTGGTGTTCACACTTTATCATTGAAATAAAAGTAAAAGCTTAATGTGTTTACGACTGTGTCTTCTGTCCTCTAGCCAATGACTTCAGGCTGAACTCGTCAGTTTTTGCGTGGCCGCTCCAGCTCCAGAAAGACCTTGAGGACAGTGAGTCTCGTATGGAAATCCTGACAGGACAGGATCTTCAAACCAGGTTAAGCTATAAATACTTGAGCTGTGGTCTACAAGAGACAAGGAGGAGAATGATGTGAAATAAAATGGAAACCTAATGGGTTTGAACTTGTCCTTTAGGCCAGAAGAGTTGAGAGCAGCAGCCAGTGAGGAGGAGTCTCTGAAAAAGTCTCTGGAAAAGATGAAACAAGAATGGGCTGACCTTAGCTTCTCTTTCACCACCTGTAGAGATGCTGTAAACGTCTGCCATCACTAACCATCAACATTTTAACTGTAATTGTTGCAGTAAAAGTTCTGGTTTAAAGTCAGGATGTTGGTTCATTCCTCCTCAGGGAACCAAAATTCTGTCCACCATAGAGGCCATCAAAACCCTTGTAGACGAGCACATAGTTGAGACCCAGACGATGAGAGGGTCTCCTTTTCTTGAGCACATAGAGACTGAATGGAAGGTGAGTGGGACTGATTCACTCTCTTTAGCAGGTGTTATAAGGGAAATTTACCTTTACAGACCTTCAGAATTGTTCTTTAACATCATCTAAATAATCTGATGATTTAAGGGTTTTATTATACTCCCAAAAATAGTAAATCGCATTTAAGGGTTATGTTAGTGAAAGGAACACACATTAATGTAAAAAAAAAAAAAAAAAAAACTCTTAATTGTCTTTTAAAGATGTCCGTCACTGAAAAACCATGTTTAATGATTACAGGGCCTTCTCAAAAAATTTGCATATTGTGATAAAGTTCATTATTGTCTGTAATGTACTGATAAACATTGGTTAGACTTTCATATATATTAGATTCATTACACACAACTGAAGTAGTTCAAGCATTTTATTGTTTCTAATATTGATGATTTTGGCATACAGCTCATGAAAACCCAAAATGCCTATCTCAAAAAATTAACATATCATGAAAAGGTTCTCTAAACAAGCTATTAACCTAATCATCTGAATCAACTAATTAACACCTGAAAAAGATTCCTGAGGCTTTTAAAAACTTCCAGCCTGGTTCATTACTCAAAACCGCAATCATGGGTAAGACTGCCGACCTGACTGCTGTCCAGAAGGCCATCATTGACACCCTCAAGCAAGAGGGTAAGACACAGACAGAAAATTCTGAACGAATAGGCTGATCCCAGAGTGCTGTATCAAGGCACCTCAGTGGGAAGTCTGTGGGAAGGAAAAAGTGTGACAGAAAACGCTGCACAACGAGAAGAGGTGACCGGACCGTGAGGAAGATTGTGGAGAAGGACCGATTCCAGACCTTGGGGGACCTGCAGAAGCAGTGGACTGAGTCTGGAGTAGAAACATCCAGAGCCACCATGTACAGGCGTGTGCAGGAAATGGGCTACAGGTGCCACATTCCCCAGGTCAAGCCACTTTTGAACCAGAAACAGCGGCAGAAGCGCCTGACCTGGGCTACAGAGAAGCAGCACTGGACTGTTGCTCAGTGGTCCAAAGTACTTTTTTCAGATGAAAGCAAATTTTGCATGTCATTCAGAAATCAAGGTGCCAGAGTCTGGAGGAAGACTGGGCAGAGGGAAATGCCAAAATGCCTGAAGTCCAGTGTCAAGTACCCACAGTCAGTGATGGTCTGGGGTGCCATGTCAGCTGCTGGTCCACTGTGTTTCATCAAGGGCAGGGTCAATGCAGCTAGCTATCAGGGGATTTTGGAGCACTTCATGCTTCCATCTGCTGAAAAGCTTTATGGAGATGAAGATTTCATTTTTCAGCATGATCTGGCACCTGCTCACAGTGCCAAAACCACTGGTATATGGTTTACCGACCATGGTATTACTGGGCTCAATTGGCCTGCCAACTCTCCTGACCTGAACCCCGTAGAGAATCTGTGGGATATTGTGAAGAGAAAGTTGAGAGACGCAAGACCCAACACTCTGGATGAGCTTAAGGCCGCTATCGAAGCATCCTGGGCCTCCATAACACCTCAGCAGTGCTACAGGCTGATTGCCTCCATGCCACGCCGCATTGAAGCAGTCATTTCTGCAGAAGGATTCCCGACCAAGTATTGAGTGCATAACTGAACATAATTATGTGAAGGTTGACTTTTTTTTTTGTATTAAAACATTTTTCTTTTATTGGTCGGATGAAATATGCAAATTTTTTGAGATAGGAATTTTGGGTTTTCATGAGCTGTATGCCACAATCATCAATATTAGAAACAATAAAAGGCTTGAACTACTTCAGTTGTGTGTAATGAATCTAAAATATATGAAAGTCTAATGTTTATCAGTACATTACAGACATTGATGAACTTTATCACAATATGCAAATTTTTTTAGAAGGACCTGTATTTCTGATTCTAATGGGTCGCTCTGAGTTTTCCATGCAGGCAGAACATGAAAATAGTTTCCTACACCTATCTCCTGCATTAGCTTCTGATAGAAAATATACGGTGAAACTCAAGGCTTAGAAAATCCTGACAGGTCTACGTCACACTGTCACTTAACATTCATGGATTCACCCATCTTGACTCACGACGAGGAAGGATATTGTTGGTTTAGTGTCCAGGAAGCAGCAGAGAACGTCTCAGCTGGTAAACTGAAGTTTTAGTCATGGGTCCTGAAGCCCAGAGAGAGAAACTTTTACCAAAATTACGATCTTTGTGTTTTAATCCTTTTGAACAATTGATGAAGGTGTGATCAAAATCTTACATTGTGTTTTTAAATCCCTTCATGGCCTGACCCCATTTTACATCTCTGAGCTGCTGTCTGCTTATGTCCCTGCCAGAACCATGAGGTCCAGCTCTCAAGCTCTTTTAACAGTTCCAAAAACCCGCCACAAGACTCGCGGCGACAGAGCTTTCTCTGTGGTTGGTCCTAAACTGTGGAACAAGCTACCTCTCAACATCTGTCACACCCTGTCCTGTCCCCCTATTCTGTTCAGTCCTGTGTCCTTGTTAATTGCTCCCACCTGCCACTCGTCTTCCAATCACTCCAGGTCCCAGCTCCTCATGTATTTAAACCCTCTCAGTTCTGTGTGTCTTGTCCGTTTATTGTTTCATTGTCCTGCATATTCATTATTAAATCCTCGTTTTAATGTTCCTGCCTGCCTGCTTCTTCCCCTGCAATTGGATCCTCACCTCCGCTCACCACACCCGCACGTTGTGACAGAATGAACCGACTTGACGAAGGATCCAGCGGGGAAGTTCTCCCCTGGGAGTACCTACTCCGATGGCTCACCCCGAGCCACCAGAGTTGGAGTCACCTCCTCCAACGCCGTCTCGCCGCAGATGCCGCCATCGTGCCTCGGCGATCCTCCCCACCCTTCTGGAGCCAGATGGGAGGTTGGACTGGACGTAGCCGACCGTTCTTGCTATGTGGGCACCAGGCTGGCTGTGTGCTCCCCCGGCGCTGGGAAGGAGCCCGGGCTCCACCAACACCTCCAGCCCCGTAGAGGCACCGCAGGCTCACCGCCACCCTGGCTCGGCGTGCCAGCTTGGACCCGCCTGCAGCGGACCCGCCTCCGATCAGGCCAGTGGCCCCGCCTCCTGTCCAGTCAGCACCTCCTTCATCTGCAGGCGGTGGGACCGAGCCTGCAGCCCATCGGATGGAGCTCGCCGGCCTCCAAGCGGAGCTGGGTTGGCTCAGTCAACTCATCAGCCTCCAGGAGTTCCAGCTGGACACTCTATCCTCCCTGGTTTTCCAGGAAGTGTCACCAGTCCAGTCATCAGCACCATCTCCACTTCCATCAGCGGCACCGCCACCGGTCCAGCCAGCATCACCGCCTGCAGCGGCACCACCACCGGTCCGGCCTGTCCAAGAGGCTCCGCCCCAAGTCCAGTCAGCGCCAAATCCAACGCTTCAATCCGAGTCAGCGCCAAGTCCACCTCTTCAATCCGAGTCAACGCTTCAAGTCCAGTTGTCAGCGCCAAGTCCAGCGCTTCAATCCGAGTCAGCGCTTCGAGTCCAGTCATCAGCGCCTCCAGTCAGATGTCGGCCTCGCCTCCTGTGCTCCAGACGCAGGCCCCCTGGACTCCGTCTTGGCCTGCATTGGGCGTCTGGTGCCGCCCTTTGTGTGTGTGGGACTTTAGGACTGTCACACCCTGTCCTGTCTCCCCATTCTGTTCGGTCCTGTGTCCTTGTTAATTGCTCCCACCTGCCTCTCGTCTTCCAATCACTCCAGGTCCCAGCTCCTCATGTATTTAAACCCTCTCAGTTCTGTGTGTCTTGTCGGTTCATTGTTTCATTGTCCTGCATGTTCATTATTAAATCCTTCTCTCAATGTTCCTGTCTGCCTGCTTCTTCCCCTGCAATTGGATCCTCACCTCCGCTCACCACACCTGCACATTGTGACAACATCAGGACCACACAGAATCTAGGTTTTTATCATCTAAAGAACATTGCCAGAGTCCGCCCCGTTCTCTGTCTGGCCAACACGGAGACGCTGATGCATGCTTTTATCACCAGTAGAACTGACTACTGTAATGCCCTGCTTTCTGGTCTTCCCAAAAAGAGCATCTCAGGTTTACAACTTCTGCAAAATTCAGCAGCACGTGTCCTGACGAAGACCAGGAGGCGGGAGCCCATTACACCAGTTTTAGAATCACTGCAGTGGCTTCCCGTATGTTTCAGGATCGATTTTAAGGTTCTTTTAATGGTTTTTAAGTGTCTTAATGATCTTGGGCCTTCTTATCTCTCAGACCTGCTTTTATCATATGAACCCTCACGGTCTCCTGGTTATCCCTTAACCCTCCCACTGTCCCAATGGGTGTGACCCCGCGAGGAAAGTTGACCATTGAGCAAGGTTGATGGTTTATCCCTTGAGGTCCATGTGGCAGGGGTGAGGTGGTGCTCACCCCTGCCACATGAAGGGTCAGTGAGTTCAGCTTTTACTCAGAAGGAGCGTTACGTCAGGTGGAGCTTGCAACAGGTTTATTTTCTAGCTTGTCATTAGTTTTTTTTTTTACAAACTTTATTGATTGATTAGCAGTCAAATATCTCAGTGAAAAACAAAATACTAAAGAAATTAAAAAATATGTATATTTCTTTGTTCTTTGTGGTTAAAAAGTTACGAGTGGCCGGCTCGCAACTCTAGAACATTTGAACTGAGTTAAGGGTGACGTGGGAGTTAGTTTTATAATTCAGATGTTTTGATTTATGGTTGAATCACAATTGGACAACAAATATAAACACCGCACAGATCATGCCACGCGTCAGAAAGGAAAGCTCTGATTGGAGAGGCAAAGGAATGTGTTGTGATTTAACATTACGTGTGATCAGTCTAGTGTGTAGTTTGAAAGTTATATTACTTATTAAAATACTATCAGGATTATAATATCAAGTAATTAATATTCTCATTTCACAGATTGATTTAACATTGAGCTTTACATGATTATTTGGACTAACACAGGTATTTGATTATTATTCAATAAAGAAGAGTTTTGGTCTTTTTTCTTCTCTTGAGCTGTAGGGGGAGGCAAATAGCTAGTGAAAACAGTTTACATTTAGAGGCATCAAAAGGCCTTGAGCAGGATCTGAGGGAGATACGTTCTTCCTGAGGAGAAAGGAAAACAGTCCCTTCATGACGCTACAATTTATATTAGCACTTTTATTTTTATATTTTTACTCATTTTAGTCCAGTGTTTCCTCTGTGGCCCCGGGGGCGGTGGTCGACTGTTGCTGCCTGGGCGCTCTACAGGTAGTGCTTGAGTGGAGGTGGGGATCTGTGCCCTCTCTCCTCTGGGCGCCTTGACTTTGGTTGACCTGATGCTGCCGGGGCAGACGGCTCATCTGATGGCACTCAGCAAAATATAGAAATATAATTTTTACTGATGTTGTGTGTGTGTGTGTGTGTGTGTGTGTGTGTGTGTGTGTGTGTGTGTGTGTGTGTGTGTGTGCGTGCATGTATTACTGTTAATGCTTTAAAACTGTCATGGGAATTTGGGGTTGTTTTAATTCTGTAAAGCACTTTGAGTCGCACTTTTGCTTGAAAAGCGCTTTATAAATAAAACCTGATGGATTGATTGATTGATTGATTGATAGTAGAAGCTAACTGTTAGCATTAGCAACTCCACCCCACAGCAGAATTCCTCCAGGCTTGTATTATTTATGGAGATAAAACATCAACGTTGAGCAGAGTCATGTTGCTATTAGCCAATCAGAGTAGAGATGCCCACTCAACCCCCCCCCCCCCCCCCCCCCCAGACTGACTTCCAAGGATTCATTCCTAGTAGAGACCACAGCTAACTTATTAAAAATATGAGTAAAAGGCCTCTTTAAAGATATATGAAACACTATTTACCCCTTTGTGTATTTCAAGGGGTTTTATTTATGACTTTGGTCACATTTGATTTTTTCCGATGAGCAGATTTCAATATCAGAAGAAGCTAACCTTAATAAATGAAAAACAGGAAGTTTTAAATTTTTTATTTTATTTATTGAGTGATCCAAACCAACCAAGTAATAGACCCATAGACTTGATAACGAGTAAAACCTTTGGTAGCAACAACTGAATCATCTTTAGGGCCAGGAAGGTTCAGATTTAACCTCTGTGGAGTCTTTTCAAAAGCAACTGAAAGCCAGACGCATCTGTTACATTTTTAGATTTGAATTTTGAGAAGCCTGGGGTAGTGAATTCAGCCAGGGGTTGCCCACTTTAAATCAGCAGATGAGTATGCTCTGAAGAAAGGCTCCCTGAGGCTGACTCTTTGACATCAGAAACGTTATTAATGAGTCCACATCAGTACAGGTTAGATGCATCAGGAACCAGGAGGAATTCAGCTAAAGGAAATCCCCTGAATAACGCACAACTGCTCCTTTTTTTTACTTGGAGAGCACATTTCCTCTCCCATGCTAGCGGGGGAGAGGATCTGCCAAGATTGGATGAACCAGTCCATACCTTCACCATATTAACTTTAAATAGCTGAAGGCTCTTTTCTTCTAAAGAAGGCAAACTTTCTGCACACAAAGAAATGCTTACGTGGACCAAAGTGAATCCTTTGACCACATATAGTAACCAAGTTCTGCAGCTGCAGTATTTTCTTTAGATATCACATTTGTTCTATGCTTTTAAGCCTTATAGGTTTGTGTTATTTTTATACTAGCCACTCTTTAAGGCATCTGTACCGTTGTTGTTTTAACACTTTGCTGTTGTGAAGCACTTTGTGATTCTTTCAATGAAAAGTGTGATACAAATAAAATGTACTTTCTTACTAGATTGCTTTTACACCTTAATGAAATCACTATTTGAGTATTTTTTCACAGCTCTGTCTTCTGTCCTCACTGTTTGTCTCATCTGTCCTTAGGAGTGGGAGACGCTGCTGCTGGACAGGAAGGACATCCTTGATGCTATGCTTAAGTGTCAGACCACCTGGCTCCAGCTCAAGCCCATCTTCAGCTCAGAGGAAGTCATCGTTAAGCTGCCTGAAGAAAGCCTGATGTTTGATTATGTGGACAAGTGCTGGAAGAACATTGTCGCTGAAGCTGTAAGACCCTTACTTAGTTATGTTAGAAATAGTCCCAAACCTTGTGCTTTAGCATGTTTTTGCACTGGTCCAGGTTAAGGATCCACGGGTCCTCGTGGCTACAGACCAGCCCAACATGCTGAAACAGCTGCAGCAGGCAAACAAAAACATGGAGGACATCCAGAAAGTTCTCAATATAGTGTGTTGATGAAATTTTTACAGGTGTTATAAATCCGTTTTTTCTGCGATGGACTAGCTATCTGTTCAGGGTATACCCCGCCCGATTGCCCATTGACCGCTGGAGATAGGCACCACAAATAAAACATCCTTCCATACGAATATTATTATAAACCACACAAGAGGCTACAACTCCAGACACACCAAAACGTCCCCATTTACTGAGTTCAGCGTTGAATCACATCTTTGACAACCAGGTCCAAAAGATCGATTCTTCATTCAGAACAATAGTTCCAAATGATTCAACCTCCTGAATGTTTCATGTCTGCCTCCACTGAAAATGACAGAGGAATGTAATGTAGCTGTCACACCCTCCCATCCCAAAAAACAAAACCCAAAACAAAAGTGTGAAAGAAGTTGGGTTTATTTCAGTCTTTATCTTTTGGAAGATTTCCAGCGTCGAACATATTAAATAAAACAAATCTATAAACCTTTTATCACCTTTTCATGTTTCATTTAACGGTTGTCATCCATCAAGGTAAAACTCCTAACTTTAATTATTAACATTTTAGCAGACTGGTTTTTAGCAGCAGCTGTCTCAACATCCTCATAAGAAATAAAGCACGTTGGTTGTGATCTAGATGTTTGGTGGGAATTAGCAGGGTGTGTGTGTGTGTGTGTACGACTGTTGTAAAGCCCCCTTGTGGGGTTCTAGGACTCTACAGGTCGATCACCCTAAGTAGGTCTATGAAAGATAGCCAGCCTTAACCAGTTTCCCATTTCCAGTTCGTTTTTAGTACCCCTGCTCAGTAACCCTCAGTTAGAAGGTTCTGGATGACTGTGAGCACCTGCTAATCAGAAACACCTGAACAGGAAGTGGGTGGGGCTCACATGTACACAGACAAGGGGACATGAGCTGGCTTCTAGTGAACGTTTTTGTGTCATAAACAAAAGTAATTTCTCTAAATTATCTTTGAACTCACTAAATCAAATTCAAGCACTTAATGATTTTCCTGCTCCCAGGGGCGTAGCACCCAATTCTGGGCCCTAGGTACAAGTCTTCTAGGTGGGCCCCCATGCTCAATTACTTAATATCTCTCTTACACATTTTTTGTCATGCTATAAGACAAGACAATAAATATGATCTTAGTTTAACCTCTATATTGAGCAAATACAAATGCCAGCATAATAAAAGTGAAATGCCCAGACTTCACATATAATTATTTTTATTTGCCAACAATGTGTTCAAACAAAAATCCTGGAATTTATTTTCCAGTAAATGCCCACTGACGGGTCTTCATGTTAGCAAAATCACTTATGAGATCTTTAAAGTCCAATCCTTTGGCTAATTGGCTTTCAATAGAAAGAAGAGCTAGGCTGTTCAGTCTATCCTGGGACATTGTTGATCTCAAATAATTTTTCACCAGTTTCAGTTTGCTAAAAGCCCGTTCACCCCCAGCAACAGTCACAGGTAGTGTGCAAAATATTCTCAGTCCAATACAAACTTCTCCAAAAATGCTCTGTAATTGCATCCTGTAGATGGCATTAAGCAGCTCAAGAGGAGACCGAATGTGTGGAAATGTGGCACCATATATTGTTCTCAGGTGTAGCATCTCATTCTCAAATTCAGCTGTGAGATCCTTGTAATATTTTCTCATCAGTGCCTGGCATGATATCTTCATCTGCTCTTCAGTCATGTCTGTCATGGTTCATGATGTTAAGCTTTGCTGATATGTATTGATATATTAAATACATATGACATGAAATAAACCAGGTTCTCTCTGTGAATGTAATGTACTCTAAATTTTATAATCCCTGCATTATCAGCCAAATTATAAGATTGTCCGTTTTCAAGATCAAATATAAAGAAATTTAAAATAGGCTTAAAATATCTAACCAGGTCAATAACAATCCTCTAACACCAGTGTCATCATGCTATACAAAAAACAGTGGCAGCTTCACATTCCTGAGATTACCGCTAATCCATCGATACCAAGTTTGTCCTGGTCCATGACTGGGAAGGAGCTGAAATATCCACACAGAGTGAACCTGTTTTTACTGCGAGGTCCGCAAATTAATTGGCGGCGGCCGCCCGCGATAATAATTCTGATTAATATATATATATAAATTTATTAGTGTTATCACTGATAACAGTAATTAATTTTTATTTGATCTTGATGGTGAAACTAAAGGCGTTTAACACTTTCTTTCTTCTTTCTTTCGGTCTTTATTTTGGTTTATAGCATTAACATAAAATTTTTTTTTCAAACAAAACAATATTAACAATTTGAATTTAAACCAAAAAAGGAATAGGCAGAAGCAAAGCTTATTTTAGCCTACCCTATTTTCCACCTAATATACATAACCAATATACATTTCTTTTATTTTCCCCAATATAAATATCCACAATGAAAATTCATTAATGTCTATACATACTTTTCATACCCTGTAAATATGTGACACTTTACACCTGCTTTAAACTTTAGTAAAGAAGTACATTTCTTCAAATCATCATATAACTCATTCCACAATTTCACACCAAGAACGGAAACACATCTTGATTTCACATTAGTTCTGGCTTTTACACATTCAAACATAAATACACCTCTGAGATTATAATGATCATCTCTTGGTTTGAAATAAACTTTTATGCAATTTGGGATATTATCATTAACTACTTTATGAAGAATCTCTAAGAATTTTACTTTAATAATATCTCCTAATTTTAGCGTTTTAGTTTGAATAAATAGATAATGGGTTGGTTCGAGGTATCCCAATTTATTAACTATTTTAATCGCCTTTTTTTGTAATTTAAATACAGTCTCAACACATGTTTTACTGCATTTCCCCAAGCCTCTGCACAGTAAGACAAATAAGGCATAACTAAAGAGCTATAAATTAAAAACAAGGCTTTTTTATTTAGTACATCACTAGTTTTATAATGTATAGCAATAGATTTAGACACTTGCCGTTTGATATATTCAATGTGTGGTTTCCAACTGAGTTTAATATCAATAATCACACCTAGGAATTTAGTTTCATGTACTTGTTCAATTGGGACTCCATTTAAATACAGCTTAGCACCGTCATTGTCCCTTTTCCCTGAAAATATCATAAATTTGGTTTTATTTTCATTTAGTGATAGCTTGTTGTAATCAAACCATTTTTTAATTGAATCCAATTCGTTTTCAACCTCTTGTAATAATTTACTCATATCTTTTCCCATACAAATGAAATTTGTATAATCTGCAAACATAATAAATTTTAACCGAGACGATACAGAAAATATGTCGTTCAGGTATAGGTTGAATAATTTCGGTCCGAGCACCGAGCCTTGCGGTACACCACATATTACTCTTTCAAGCTGTGAATCTATATCATTAACATTAACATATTGAAATCTACTGCTTAAATAACTTTCAAGCCATTGATTGGTTTTACCACGAAGACCATAGTATTCACATTTCTTGAGCAGGTATATGTGATCAATTGTATCAAATGCCTTACTCAAGTCAATCAAGACAGCCACTACATTAAGTTTTTGATCCACTGCTGTTGCAATCTGCTCTACCAAATCCATAACTGCTAATGAGGTTGAACGATTCTTCCTAAACCCATACTGATGGTCATTTAAAAGATCAAACTTGTTGGTAAATGCTTCAAATCTAATTACAAAAAGTTTCTCAAGTATCTTTGAAAACTGTGGCAGTAAAGAGATAGGTCTATAGTTACAAGCTAATCATTTATCACCACTTTTATAAATAGGAATAACTCTGGCTATTTTCATTTGTTCAGGGACTGTGCCACTTGAAAAGGATTTATTACAAATATAAGTAAAAGGTTCAATAATGCAATGGATAACCTCCTTGATGAGAGACATATCTATCCCATGAAAATCTAAGGACTTTTTACTTTTGAAACTATGTACCGCTTGGATCACATCACTTTGGCTTACACTGCTCAAAAACATTGTATTATTATTTTTATTTATTTCATGGTTAATGTCAACTTCTGGCAGCTTTTTAGCTAGATTAGGGCCAACATTCACAAAATATTTATTAAACTCATTTGCAATGTTCTTTCCATTTTTATTGTGAATATCTATACCTGCTTCTTTTGTATTTCTTATTAATTTATTTAACACATTCCATGTACCTTTAATATTATTTTTGTGTTTTAGGAAAAGCTGATCATAATATTCCTTTTTTTGCTTCCTTATTATTGTAGTTAATTTGTTTTTATATTCCTTATACCTTTTTTCTTTTTCCTTTGTTGGATTTTTTAGAAAATCCAGATACAGTGATTTCTTTTTCTGGCAAGCCCTTTCCAATCCCCTAACAATCCAGGGTGGGGACCTTTTTTTTAAGTTTTGCTTATGATATTTTAGAGGACAATGTCTATCATAAGCTCCCAAAAATGAACACTGAACACCTAACATGAATGCAGCTTCTGAGAGCTAGCTAATATCAGCTAAAACTGTGTTCTGCAGCTCACCTTCCTTCTTGAAGAACCTAGTCAATACTTGCTTCTGTTCAATTAACTTTTTCTCCTTCTCCTTCTTTTCTTTTCTTTTCTGGAAGCCAGATTTCCCTTTCTTGGGAAAAGACATGACTGACTCTCCTGCCTCCAGCTCTGGCTGTCGGCATCTGCGATGTCTCATAGCTGTACATGCGGCCGTGCAGCCCCTGGCCGCTGGTGTGGACTAAACCACTTTGCACATTTTTAAGGGGTGATAGATGCCTCAGAGATTATTCAGTTATTATTTTTAAGGCGAAATTCTGTTTCTTAACCTCTTTGTCCAGATAAAGAGACGTTTATTAAGACATTAAGTAAGTTGGGGGGAAAAAACAACAACAATAAAACATTTTTATTCAAAGCTGTCTCAGGGCCCCTCCCTGCAGTGGGCCCTGGGTAAACGGTACCCTTTCCCCCCCCAGTCCGACGCCCCTGCCTGCTCCTTACCGACTGTGGGTCATCACTGACTTAAAGTTCACACAACACACACTCGTGTTATCATTTCATTGTCCTTTAAAAGTAAAATTACATTACAGCCAATTTCAGTTACTTTCATATAAAATTCAAGCACTTTAATAACCTTAAATAATGAAATAAGTGTTTTCAAAATGGAATTTATTTTATTGTAATTTATACAATTTAAGCAGAGAAATAAAAACATGCTGAGCGACTGTAGAACCAGGGCTATGCACTCTCAGTCGCACCAACCCTAATAATCTAGGTTTTAGTCTTACTGACATCCTGAAGGACAGCAGCCTACTCCTAAGGGGTGAAGCTCATCAGTGTAAATGAGATTATTTGACTACATTAAAACATAGACCCAGATTTTTGAGCACACACACACACACAAACTAAAAAAGAAAACCCGACAATCAGATTCATATAAACACTTTAATGAGTTGAGTTTTCATTCTCAACTCTTGACATCCGAACACAAATAACTGACAGATGAGACAAACTGTAGACCAAACACACACCAGCTGTGTTTATGTGCTCGCAAAGCTTTCAGGCTGACAACAAACGGAAACTCTAGTTCTAGAGTTAGACTTTAAATCAAGCATGTGTTCCTGAACTCTGGGCTGGAGCTTCTCTTCTTCTCTTGAGGAGTTCAGCTGTGAGTGGAGGACGGAGGAGCGGTCTGATGAGCAACTGTCACATCGGGCTGCGAGGACGGATCTGAGGCGGGACAGACGAGACAACATCATTAAGCAGACCAAAAGAGAACCAGCGGGTTGAATAGAAAACACGTACACATTCCATTGAGGGCTCCAGGGTGTCGGGGGGGTATCGTCTGGGCATTTCCTGCTCCAGGCATCATGCGGTTGGGCATGGGCTGACCTGAAGACAGAAGAAGTAAAACGTCATGACAGAAGTGCTGCTGTTGGTCTTGTAGGTGGAAGCAGTCCTGACCAGAGTGCTGCAGGCTGAAAGCGCTCTGTCCCTGCTGCTCTCTCTGCTGGCGGACCTTCATTTCTGCCTGCTTCAGCTGCTCCGTGTGGAAAGTCTGTCTCTCTGTCAGGAGCTGCTGCCGCTGGAGTTCCAGCTAACACACAAATGTAAACGGTCAGCCCACTTTGTAGGAGATAGACCCAGGGGAAGTCGTGGATCAGTTTTAATTACAGCCTCTTTCTCTCGGTCCATGATGGTCTCCAACTCCTCAAAGTGTCTCAGTTTGATCTCCAACTTCTTCATTTGGGTCTCCACCAGCAGAGCCACCAGGGACTTGATCTTCCTCTCCTCTACTGCTGCCAAGTGCTGCAGAAAAAGACCCGGAGGTCGTTAAATCGTCAAAATATTTGTGACGGGTAAGAAGAGAGAAGATGAGGGGAAATACAGACGATACCTTTGCTTTTGAGGCTGCCGACAACAGAGCAGCTGCTGCTGCCACGGGAACGCTGCCCTCCACCAGCTCCATCTCCATCGTTCTCCTGCCGTCCTCCCCTTCTCCATCTCTCCTGCTCTCATTGTTATCTCCCCTGCCTGAAACACAGATAACATATTACTGAATGACATATGCACAGAGCCTTTACTCTCCTCTATGCATGCATGCATGGACACACACACACACACACACACACACACCATCTCTCTCCTCTGTCAGCATAGCTTCAGCATGTTCACTCTTCAATTCATCTCCCTCCACTTTAGACAGGTCGGGTTCCATCTTGACTCCATCCACCCTCACGGAGACCTGAGACCGATACAAACACACATCAAACACACACGTTCCCTCAAACACAGGATGAACCGTTTTAAAGATTATTTTCTACCTGATGAGAGTTGGAGTCCAGCTTTTCTGCTTTCAGTGAATCTGTAGACAACACACAAGCAGTGAAGACGAAGAGAATTTTAGGTATCGACGTGTTTTTGTATCTCAGTCTTACCCGTCCTTGCTGACTGGTTGAATCCTTCAGAGGCTTTATCCAACGACTCCTCGTACACTTTGGAGAACTCCTCTGAAAACAAACAAAAACAGTCACCAGACTTTACGTGTGGCACAGCAGCTCCGCCTTTTCCCGGTCCTCTCACCCATCGCAGCCTTAGCTGCGGCCGATGCCACACGCGGATCCACCACGGACGCCAGGAAGGCCACGGTGCTCATCACAGGGTTTTCTGATTGGCTGAAAGGCACTGGCTGATAGGCCAGCGGGCCCAAAGAGGCCGACGAATCCTCCAGGTAGGGGTCTTCTATCGGCAGACGTAAGAAGTGGAGGATACATTCGTCCTGTGTTCTGGAGCCAACGTGCTCTGATACTTTGTTCCAGTCATCCCTGTAGACCTCCAAAGCCTGAGAGCAGAGACGATGTCAGCTACAACCACGGCTGAACAAACTCAAGAACGTACGCGTTACACGTAGGTCTGCGGCAGAAAGGAAAACAGAACACGACCGACTCACCTCCAGCAGTAAGAGAGTCTCCTGCTCTGTCCACTCTCTTCCTGCATTTGCTCCTTTGGTCTGTAAAAATGTCACAAATAAATAACTCCAGATGCTTTCAAAGACATTTAATTTGCCTAAAAGCAAAAATGAATAAAATCCTGAGAGTTTAAGAACTGCTGGGTGGTGCGAGCGTGTAACAGCGCGAGACCTTCGGGTGTTTCCTGGTGTAAATGTCGGGGCGCAGACCGAAGTTCTGGCAGTCTGACGGCTTCTCTCGGCTCTTCTCTGGGAAAAACAGCGTGTGCTGCGAGGCGGACACCTGCAGGACAAAGAGTCTCAGCACAGTGCTCATCAGAAGGCACAGGAAGAGCTGGCCTGGAGACACCGGCACCTGTAGGGGCTTGTGCTGGAGAGGGGCCAGCCCCGACGGCGTGTCGGCCAGCACGTTGAAGTGAGGCGTGGGTGGAGGTCCCATAGGGAGGGGTCTACTCTCTGCATCCACCTGGTAGTTGATTAAACCCCACTGCTCCAAAAGTGCATGCACCCTGAACACAAAAGGAGATTTGTTTTTATTTACAGAACCTAAACGCAGAGGGACAAACACAAAAGGTTTAGGCCTGCCTAATGAGAGCGCAGACATCTCCGGTCAGGTTCCGTCTGCAGGACGTGGAGCTCAGATATTCCTGGGGGTTGAGCCGATACGTGTCGATCATGAAGTTACGATACGCCAGGTAGCTGTGAAGGAAAGGGAGGATCACGATGAAGCTCTGCTAAGCTTCTGCATGCACGGATGTGTCTGAGGGTGGGGAGTCCTCACATTTCAGGAGACTTTGATTTGTTCTTTCCATTGAAGAATTCAGGAAGTGCACGTTTCTCTATGGCATGAATGCTGGGTGAAATTTACAGGAAGGCTCTTTAGAATGACCATAAATACTAACAAGACTTAAAGTAAACGAAGATGCGAACCTGTTGTAGTTAAACCAGGACGTGTAGCTGGGTATGATTATGTGATGGGTTTGCTCCGTGATGTTATCGTCCCCCTCAAACAGGCGTGGAACCTCTCGTCCGTCTTCATCTTCCTGGAAACCAACAAACATCAACAACACGTCGACACCGCGTTAACAGCGTGCGTATTTAACTCACCCTTCCCGGAAAGTCATCTTCCTGATCGTCTGAAAAGGAAAAGAGAACAAAAAAAAAAATCTAAATTTGTGAACAAAAAACAAAAACGTGAGAGAAAAAAAAAAACGTGTGTTTAAAATAACCTCCGGGCAAAACACAAGATTACCGAGGTCAGCCATGATCCCTCCTTTCACCGGAGTATTCTCACTGTCCTTCTTCAGGTTCACTACAAGTTAAAGGTCAGAAGCACACAACGCTCATCCTTAATGTCTACTTTCATTCATTTGAACTGAATCTAAAAAGCACTGCTCAAGGGTTCTTAGCCTTTACCGTTCTTGGGCAGTATGACTTCCTCCATATTAGGCACAGGTGTAGGGTCCTCCATGTCTTTTGTCAGGTCCTCCTCTGGCTCTTCATCTGGCTGCCCACGTCTTCTCCTGAGTACGTACACACACACACACACACACACACACACACACACGCACACACACACACACACACACACACACAGATTAATTCTGAAAACCGTAACCCCAGAGTGGAAGAATCTGTGTCATCTTACCCTTTCTTTCCTTTCTTCCTTCCTTCAGAGGAAGGGGAGGGGGAGCGTCTTCTCTTTCTGGAGGGAGTGCACTTTGAGTCCTGCAGCAAAGACAAACTTGCTACGTTAAAATAATGTTTACAAAAACAGTCAACAGATGGTCTGAGACAAAAAAGATCATTTCTAAAATGGTATTTCCTTGTGCTTGATGATCAAGCTACTAATAAAACGTGTTACATAATAACAATTATTAGTTTGGTGCAATAAGAATTATAATGGCAGTGTTTGCAAAAGCTTTTGAGTCACGCGGCTAAACTGGAAGACGTGGGAGTGTCTCACCGAGGACATTTTTGAGCCACGTAGGACAAAGTCCTCACAGGCTTCAGATTTGTATCTATTTAACAACGGTACTGTAATAAACTGATATTTATATAGTATTCATATTTTTTGAGACAATAATATGATGAAATAACTTTAAAAAAATATTAATGGAATTTTCTACAAAATACAAAACAATAACAAAATTATTACACATCATCATGTAAATATTTATATGAAACACCAGGAAATCTTTCTAAATATGGTAATGATCCATAGGAGTTATTGTGAGTGCTGCCGTAACCTAGTGATGGTAAACTCGATTCTTTTTACTGAATCGAGTTTGAACGAGTCACTGAGTCGGTTAATCAGAGTGTAAAAAGAATCTACATTTTCACTCAAACTTAACTTGCTCCCCTTTCCCTGTAAATGCTACTGTTGAGATGAGTGATTAAAAAAAGAAAACTAACCTTTACCTCCCTCTTTAGTCTCATCTTTGCAAAACAAAGTGTAGACTGATCATTGTTACATGGCATCAGTCAGACTATCGGCGTTCTGCTCAGGTGAAGGAGCGACTCTTCTAAGGTAAGAGGGTCTGAGTTCCTGCAGCTGAGACGCGGGAGGCGAGGGGGTGAAGGAGTCGTTTGTCCTCAGAAGCCAGCTACAGAGGAACTGAGTGATTCCTTCATGCTACAATTCAGCACTGGACATTGTGAGCTAGCTCTCAGGATGGGGGTATGGGGGATGGGGGGGACTCTGCTGTTAGCAGAGCAATGCTACCATGAACTAATGAGCTTCCAGCCCAGAACAGGTAAGGAGATGTTTGTTGATTTTTTTCCCTACAATTTTAACTCATTCACTGCCATTGACAACTAAAGTCGTCATTTTAGATCCAACCGTTCACTGCCAATGACGACTTAAGTCGTCTGCATTTTTTTACTGTTTGAGCAATGGAACGAGCCCCCGCGCTGAGAGAACAAACATCTCAGCCCTGAAGCCGATCTTCATCCGCATACGTCACAGATCACATGATCAGGAAGCAACACATCCATGTGTTTGGAGATCGTTTTGGGTCGTTCCTGTAAAAAAAAGTGAGGCGCAAACCGGAAAAGCGTCTGCCGATCACAATTCGACAACGGATTATGAAAGAACGGATAACGCTCGAAACATGCGGACTCTTCCTGATGTAAGAGGTGAGTCTCCTCTTTGTTTTGGTTGTTTTGGCGTCGACATCATGCTAGCGCGCAACGTTCTGTGACTCTTAAAAAAAACAGTAAAAATGGTGAGAAACGCTGGCAGCGAAGGCCGTTAGCGATCAGGAAACGGCTGGCAGTGAAAGAGTTAATGATCGGCGAGACAGATTTCTATTAATAAGATCAGTTTGCTACCAGTAACAGGGATGAGTCAGTGAATGAGTGAGTTGGGACAGTGAATCATGATTCACGAGTCAGTAAAGTGATTGTCAAGAATTGAACGACTCGTTTGTGCCTCGCGCATCACTGATGGGGTTTATCTCAGCTGCTGGTTGGACTACTGCTCTAATAAACTACTGCAAGGCCAACATGTCACTGTGACGGTTTTAGTTCTGCACTAAAGTCACAATAATAAGAAATGATCATTAGTTACTTTGCGTTTGTTTTACAGCTGCTTAAAGTGAATAAGACGCACGTCGGTCCATTATGTCCGATGGTTTTACGTTTTTGTCTAACGCTATTAAAACGTGTTGGTAATGTCCCGTGTGTTTCCACAAACACTGTAATACAAGTGACACTACTTATACTAATAGTTTCAAAATAATATTTTTTATTAAAGAAATCATATTTGAAGGCGACAACGTTCAACTGTTCCCACATTTAAATGTTTTTTATTATTTTTGTCCAGTTTGGGGTATTCTTCAGACAGAGGGTTAGTTAGGACAGCAGCTTCACACACACCTGATCTTCTTGGAGGTGAATTCTTCTACGGAGGATGAGAGGAACGTTCCTGTCATCTACACAATAATCCTCCTCGTTCATCCACTCGTTAAAGACATCTGTGTCCAGAGCCCAGCCAGCATGAACCTGCAGCACACAGACACAAAGCGAACCGTCACTTCATTCTGAGTTTTATATTTTTAAGGAAACTAAGGTAGCTGCTTACATTTGAAAAGCATACATGTCATCTATCAGACCTGATGCTCATCGGCTCATCACCACATTTATTAACAAAAAAAATCACCCTGTTTTTTATTCTTAATCTAAAAATACTGATAATCTAATATAACTTAGATCTAAATATATAAAATATAAAGCTTTGGAAGTGGTTAGGGGTACTAACTCTCCAAGGCCTGTCTGTGTGCAGCAGCTCTTCAACTTCTCCTTCAACGTCACCCGAGGACATCCAGCTGTCATAACTGGTAGCAAAAGAGAAAAAGTTAAGATCAGCTTGTTTCAGTCCGTTTCGTTTTGAGAATCTAATGAACTGATCGAGATGCACGAAGCAACCTCGCATGACATAAGCCAAAGTCCAGATCAGGTCATTCTGTGTCGGAGCTGACAAAATCTACACGAGAATGAACTTTTTCTGGACTTCCGGGACTGAGATCAGTTATGTTCACGTGTAAGATTTATGCAAGCGTGCATCACTTATACGTGTGTGGGTTTTCATGCATTACCTGTCAGGGTGCATCCCCCAATGAACCAGGACATAATTGTCCTTCCGCATAACGGGACGCATCCAGTCACCTGGGAAAAACAAACAGTAAACACAAACATGTTAGGATTTGATTGTATCGTGTTAGTAAACACATAAGAAAGATGCGTAACTGACCCTCTTCTGTAGAAACAATAGCGGTGTAGACATGATGACTGGCGGTGTCTCTGTCCTCAGTGATGATACCCTAAGAAGAAGCAAATGTTTAAGTAGCACACACAGACTACAGGTTCAAACTAGAGCATCGCGCAGCGTCTATATGGATGCTAAATATTCACACAGGAAGCTCGCTCACCTTCAAGAATGAATAAATATTTACCCTGTGTCTGATGATGATGCCAGCAAGTCTGCTGGACAGCTCCGGATCAACCATAGGATCAAGATACACCACAGGCAGAGCCATGCAGTTGTTCTGTTGACACACAAGTCCACATCTGTTACTAAAGGTGCATATACGGGTGTGTGTTCTTCTCAAATTTCTGTGCGACCTGGATTAGAGCTTTCTCGATAGCGACAAACATCTCCACATTTCTCTCAGTTCTGGATGGATTCTGCAAGTCAAGCCTCCGCCTGTGTGGAAAAAGAGGAGAGAACAAAGAATGCTTAAATTAAAAAAAAACAAGCAGCACGTGTGTGTGAGAGACATGATGGGGAAGGTTTAGGTAGTTTGGTACCCACCAGCCCTGCTCAACCTTGAACTTGTAAATAGTGCCAAGGATGTGGCAGAGTCCACCGCCTGGTCGCAGGTCCATAAAACAGTGTGCCTGCGCAGAAATGGTCAAATGAATTGGGTTTCCAAAACCAAGCATAGTTCTGTAATAAAAATATACTTATTTATAGCAAAAATCATTTGGTGAATGACTATGTAACAGAAGGAAAACTGAATATTTCACCAACATCCACTACTTTAGTTATATAAATACATTAGCCAAAGGGCAGAATCCTACAGAAAGGTGTAATTAAATTAAATCTGACAATAATCACATTAAAATTAAGCAGTGAATTAAAAACACTTGCAGGTAGTTTTGTGAGTGCAGGGTTGGTAGCTTGTCTGCCAAAAGCATCTTCTTGAAACTGCAGAAGCTGCAAGGTGACAGCAGCCAATGCCTGGCAGGATGGGGCGTCCACCGACACATACTGACGGACACACACATTTAGGAATTACTAAGAGACCGTTTACATAAAGTATTATTTATTTTCCATTTGTTTTACTCTATTTCCTTTTCTTAGCAGCTGCATTTACCGATAACTGTTTTCGATTGTGCCAGCTTTGTGCACTAAATTTAATTTGCTAATTTATATTGAAGTTACACAACTAATGAGTTTCAGCAAATAAATCTGAGCTGCAGGTGCAAAGTTGTTCCACACAGAAAATTTGTTTACATTGAGCAGACTAGCAGGAGGCGGCTAGCGGTTTCTGCTACCTTTTTGTAGTGCTTCCCGATCCACTGTCGCACCACCTCCAGTTGAGCTAAAGTATCCGGACTCTCCCAGAACCTAGCGGGTGAACTGCTGTCCTTTTTCCGGAACGTAAACGTCCCGGGGCTGGCTTGGCTTGTCCCAGGAAATCCAAAGTTTGCCCCTCCTGACATTGTAACCACAGAAGAGCAAGAATAATTTCAAACGCCAAAAGCTAAACTAGCTAGCGCGTTCGCTAGCTTTTGTGTTCTCACTTTTTCTCGCGAGACTCAGCTCTGTCAAAATAAAACCTTTTTTTCTTTTCTAATGTTTCCTAATCCTGGGAAATTCTTTGTTGTTTTGTGTATTTTTTAATAGTAAGCTTGGTTAGAAGAAACAAAACAGCTACAAATTTTCATCAGAAAAAAACAATTTGATCACAGACGACAAAACTTTGTTTTGAAATGTGACGTACCCGGAAAAAGCTGCATGCATAATAAAAACAAGGGAATTGGTACGGACAGGTATGTTAAGTTGCAATCTCCTCAAAAATTCACTGTAATAGATTTTAGATCTGCGTTATTTACGCCATGTCACGCATTAATCGCGTCACCGCAGCGCCTGTTATTACCCACGGGGTACGCACGTGCGTGTGATGCACACAAACACACCAGAGCTGTCCTTTCCGTTTTCTTCCACTGGCTTTAAGGCGGGGCACTTTTTAATGTTTTCTGTGTTGTTTCTGTCTGCATTACAGTGAGTTAAACCTAAGATGTGTGACCTTTACCCTCATGTCTGAGATGCCATGGGTGTGCAGGGCTTAACCACGTTTGTGGAGGGGAACAGAAACTTTCTCCAGGACTTGAGGTTCAGGGATAGTCGACTTGTTATTGATGGCTGTAGTTTATACTACCGCCTGTACTTTCACCACGGCTTGGATCTGCAGCACGGAGGAGACTACGACGCTTTTGCCTGCCTGCTCACCAGGTTCCTCTCCGCTTTGGCAGCCTGTAAAATCCAGCCCTATGTGGTGCTGGATGGAGGTAGGGGGACTTCCTTTTGTATTTTTAAAAATGATCATAATTCCTTTTTTGAATGATCAACATAGATAAGAAATTACTCCCACAAACGTTACATTTGTGACTGCTTTGTGTGATTATCAGGGATTGACCCCAGTGATAAGAAGTTCCCTACTCTGCGTAGTCGCCTGCAGTCCAAAATAAGGGAAGCAGACAGCCTCTCTCATGGCCGCAACGGCTCTGTCCTTCCAATCCTTACAAGACACGTCTTCATCCATGTCCTCACTCAGAGAGGCGTCCCGCTGGTCCAGTGTTCAGCCGAGGCAGACTGGGAGATTGCGTGTTTGGCACGACAGTGGAACTGTCCAGTGCTGACAAATGACAGTGACTTCTATGTCTTTGACCTTCCAGGTGTGGAGAGTAAAATGACCCTTTTCTTTGGACAGCAATCAAGATGAACAAAGAGTTTTCTAATGATGTAGCTCAAAATGTTGTTGTGGTCTTTGTTTCCTTATTTCAGGTGGTTATCTGCCACTCCAGTATTTCCAGTGGACCAACCTGAATGGAAAAGCATGCCAGCGATACATTTCATCTCGGTTTTACACCACCAACAATCTGTGTCGCTGGTTTGGGGGCCTGGACCGGGAGCTGCTTCATTTATGTGCTGTAATTAATGGGAATGACTATGGAGCTCTAATGGAGGCTGAGACTCTCCTTGATCTGATAGATGTGGGTGCTTCAGGAAGAGGAGGGGGCAGAGGTAAAGGTAGAGCTTCCTCGTCTCGTATCGAGGGCCTCCTGATTTGGCTGTCGTCTTTTTCAAGTGTGGCTGAGGCCCTAAAGGAGGTGAGCAGGCTCATGTGTGAAGGAGGCAGAAACAAGAAAGGTCAGAAAGATGAGCTGAGCTCCCAGCTGTGGGCTGCAATGCAAGAGTATAACATAAAAGCTAGAAGCTCTCTGGTTCACTGGTTCTCTGAAGGTAAAGTAGCTCAGAGAGGGAACACATGTGGACTGACACAGCTGCCAGACTGCTTGTCTTTTGCTGCAGCACAAGGGCAGCTGGCTCCTGCGGTGGTGGATGCTTGGGTCATGCAGCGGGTCCTCCTCATGCCCCAGGTGGAGAATAATAGACTAGCCAGCAGCCACTTAAGCTCTAAAGCCATACGCCAGGCTATATATGGGATATTACTGCAGGGTCAAGATGGGACCGTGCACGGAAGAGACGGAGGCGCGCGGCTAGCAGCGGAAAGTGGAAGAGGTTCAGGAGGGAGGGGGCGTGGAGGCAGGGGTCAGGTTCACACATCAGCGTGGAGCACGGGGCAGGCAGCTTCAGTGCAAGCACAAGGCACCCCCATCTGTGTTGAGGAGTATGATCGTCTGGACCTCAGCTTAAAGAAGAACCTAGTGGAGGCACAACCCCCCAGGACCCCCGTACTCCTGAGTGAACTCAGCCAGGTAAACGGGTGCAGCACAACAAAATACAGTAGAATCATAAAATAATATAATCCCCAGTGTGTGTGTGTGTGTGTGTGTGTGTGTGTGTGTGTGTGTGTGTGTGTGTGTGTGTGTGTGTGTGTGTGTGTGTGTGTGTGTGTGTGTGTAAGGGGGGTGCTCATATTTTGTTTTTTGTTTTTAAATCTAGATATTTCCTTAAAACATGCGATGTGAACACTTCAACTCGGTCCTAAAACAACTTTTATTTGAGACCTGTTATGAGTTCATTTCTGCCAAACAAAAAGAAACAAACACCCTTACATATTTCATTTGTCCAGATGCTAACTGGTGATTGATGTTTGTTCTTCATGTCCAGGCCCCTGTTGCCCTGCGACTTGGAGTCCTGTTCGAGGTCCTGGCGGTGAAGGAGTCTGCTCTGGAACCGGTTCCTCCCCACCAGCGTCTGGTTGTAGCAGTGACTGGATTCTGGCTGAGAGAGGTCACACCAACACCCCCACAGCCTCTGGTGCAAGCGTTAGTGCTCAGCATGGTTTATGGAGAGGTGTCCTTCAACAACCAGCCTGGAAACTCCCATCAGCACGCTGGTTAGTTATGGGCCATTCCCATCTGTACCGGGTCGGCCCGGGCCGGGTAGCCCCAGTCGGCCCCAGCCTGGCCCGGTTGATTCCACACATCCTTGCCTTAAGCCCATGTGGGCTGATTCTAGCCACCAATCAGAGGCTTGCTCTAATGGAAGGTGTGAATTTGCTGTCAGCAGTGGGTGTGTTGGCCCTGGTCGGCCTGAAGCAGACCCCCTCGAGAAGAGGGCTGAGAATGAGCCTTGGTTGGCCCGGAAAAATACCAGGCCACCCAGATATGTAAACAACCTACGCTACCCGGCCCGGGCCGACCCGGTACAGATGGGAATGGCCCCATAAGACTCTTATTTTGAAAAGGTCTTTTAAGAACAAGTTAAACTCACCTGTTGATGATCTACCATTCCAGTCCCGCGTATGAACTGGGCTGCAGAGCGACAGGTGCTCTCAGCGCTGGGTGGGAAGAGGGTGAGACCGGGGGAGAGACGAAGGCTGGACCTGGGAGTGGCTCACAGCTTGAGCCAATGGCAGGCCTGCTTCTGGAGTGCTCTGTGTCTCAATCAGCTTCTCCTGATGCCACTGCCTCAACCTCAGCTGTCATGGTAGGACACTCAATACTTACTCGTCTTCCTCTGGAGATGAAGAAGTCATTTAAACTGATGTTTTCTTTGAATAATTAAATCAGATTCTGAAAACAGAAGCATCCATCTTTACAGCTCCCTTGTCTCCTTGGATCTTTAGGGTGTTCAGTGGTACCTTGGTGCACGGCCTCTACAGGGCTCTGAAAGCAGGCTGGGCTGCAGAGACTCTGCTCCCTGTTGGGTCTGTCTCCGGACGGCTCTACTCCTGCCTGCTGGAAGCTGTGAGGGACTGCAGTTTCAAGCCAAACCCATCTTCTCTAGTATCAGGGAGGAAGAGGAGAGGCAGGGGCCGAGGAAAGAGAAGGGGAGGCGGGAGAGTGGCTCAGAGTGGCAGGAGCGATGCAGAGGAGTTAAACAACAGGTTTGCTCTCCTCATGAGTGATGAGGAGTTTGATCATTAATGAGGAAGCGGAGAAAATCAAATCAGGTCTGAGATGCGTGGGAAACGCTTTAAGGTTGTTTACTTGTGAAAAAAGTGCCGTTATTTGCACCGATTAGACCCCGAGACCCTCTCCCTCTACTCATCAGAGCATCTTAAAATTCCTTCTGTTCTGTTTGATCTTATCTGATCAAACGTTGGATGAAGAGCCACCCAAAACATCAACTACAATTATGAATTTAGTTCCTATTAAAGTGGATAATAAAATCCACACAATAAGACATTTTTATATACCGTAAATCCTCTAATATTAGCCTGTATTTAATTAACTGCCGGGTATCATATTTTGGCCGGTGTCGGAGTCGGCGGAGGTGAATAATGGCCGGTTTTTTATTGTGGCCGGGTGGAATGTGGTAACAAGCAAGTACGGTTGGGCGGTTGTGTCATCGTCTCACTTTTGATTTGCCAGTGATAGACCGCGAGGGTAACTTTAACCGTGCAGAGATGAAGAGGAGACGAAAATTTGATAACAAGTTCAAAGAGAACGTGCTGATTATGCTGCAGAACACTCTGGGGAGCAGTAGCAGGGGTTGTATGAACTAGTCACTAGTCGACTTCACCGCTCTATAGTGACTTTTTATGCCTGTCATCGACTAGTCACTGTCACGTGATAATGACCGGCAAGATGCAGTCCTCGGAAAAGACAGCAGCCTGCTGTCAACAGGTGACAAGCTCCTGCGCGTCGAGAGGCAACGCGCTGTGCCAGAGCGTCGGTACTGACACCCGCCGTAAAACGGACATTTAACCAAATTGTGACGTTTACCCTCTTGCAATTTAACATTCCCTCACCCCCATCCTAACCTTAACCAGCTTGCGCATGCAAAGCTCTGATTGCTCCAGACATCTGCGTCCTGAGCACGGCCACAGTAACATTATCAAATCAGGTGTCGCCACCTCAAAAACTAATTTAACACGCGATCGTTCCTGTCGCCTCATTTCCTTTTGTTTTCTTTTATTCTTTTATTTGTGCCTGATGCTTTTCGCTGCTGTGGATCGGGGCGCATCACCTGTTTTGTCCTCGGTGACGCACTGATCACTGATGCGGCCGCCAAGCAGCGAGCACTCCACTGTTTTTGCGGTCGGTAGATCTTTTAGAACAACAGTTCAAAGGTAACTCATGAGGTGAATATATATGAACCCAGGTAGCAGTTTCTCTTTAGGACTGAGAGGAGATGCAGGAAGATAATAAACAGGCAGGACAGAAAAATAGTCAAATAAAAACAAGTTAGTTTTTGTACCTGGTGGTTGCAACAAACAGACACCATTGAAGGTAATCAGAAGTGAGGAACAGAAAATGAAATAATTATTTTAATGTTTAGAGCAGCAGCAACTCCGAGAGGCTGCAGGCGCATCAGTGAGTTTGCGGCCGCTGCGCAGGGGGAGGGGGGAGGGGGCTGAAGCAGAAACTACCGTTGTTAAAAGAAATGTGTTTAACTTTGAAAATGTGGGCGCAATTTTAATTGTCAAAAACTCCAGCGAACCATTAGTTCATTTTGCTCAAATAGAAATTGAGGCCTGCCTCTAATTCTGGTCCTCCTTCCAATAAAGGCCTGGAGCTTGATGAGCTTGAGTCAAATACAGGCCCGGGCCTGTATTAGAGGATTTACGGTATTCCATATAGATTCTTTAAATAGCAGAGTGATGCCAGGCCGTGTTCAGAGCTGATGGGAATCTAAAGTGTTTGTTTTTATCCTTTTAACATCAAGCAGCTTCTGTAAACTGAAGCAGTTCATCAACATTTTCATACTCCTGGTGTCTTAAAGGCATCTTCTCTCCTTTTTGAAGTTAGAATTGATTTCCTGTTGGAGCCTTTGTTTACGAGCGATGAGCTAACAGCTAGGCAGACTGGACCTATATCCAAAACAGATGTCAGACACCTTCAAACGATTCCAATCCTTTAAATGTCACTGAGCAGCATCACCTTATCACCTTTATTTTGAGATTTATTAAAAATCAGCAGCAGCTAATCTGACAGCGGTTTCCTAACATTGCACAAAACTAATTGTCTGGTAGAAAGGTTCATGCATGAACTGCTGTGAAACCGGTCACACAAGCTGTTACTGACATCCATACACTTTGGCCTTGCTCAGACTAGCCGTTAGCTTCTCTAATTCTCCAAACAAAGGCTGTTTACTTAGCTGTTTAGACATTAAGACTTCAAAAGGGCAGAAAATCCCTTAAATCAATAAATATTATTGAATTGTTGTAATTTTTATATGGAAAAAAAATGTACGAGACATTTTAGAATACACATTCTTTTTATTTGTAACAACATAAATAAAAACAAAATGTTTACACACTTCCTTCAAAGATATTTTAAAATAATCATCAATGTTTTAATAATTATTGTGCTTCTGCTGTTTCTAATAAAAATAATAATAATAATACACTTGCTAGAAATCGATCTGCAACTTTGAAAAAGGTCAAAAATGAAAGTAAACGAACCAAAGCAGTTTAGTTTCAACTGAATGAATTCTAGAATGAACTGTCTAAGCAACAATGACCCTGCCTCAACTCAGCAAATCACCACCAAACATCTCCGATCACTACCGATGTGTTTTCTATCCTATGAGGATGAGGAGGTGGAGGCAGATGAAGGTTCAGCAGATGCGGCGTGCGGCTGGGAGTCGATCAGGTCCATGTCTTCGTCTTCGTTCACTCCGCATGTGTCCACCACGCTGATCAGACAGCTGGTGACGGGGAAGGCTCTCACTTTGCTGCACGTCAACCACCTGAGAACAGACGTTAGCGTCTAACCAAACCTTTTCTTTTTGTGCAGGTGTTCAGTGATACAATACAATACGTGTTAAGGCGTTCTGATTGGAGAAAAGCGTCTGACCTGTCAAACTCGGTGTAGTACTCCAGGACGTGCCCGAGCCGCCCCACCCCCTGAAACCCTGCCAGCACATAGATGACATCTCCCACAGCAGCACACTTCACGGTCAAGCCCCTCCACGGCATTGGAGACGCAGCTCGCCACTCGTTACTGGCAATGTCGTAATACTCCACTGAGTCCAGTCCACCTTAAAAAGAAGTCAGCATTTTCATTTGTTTTGTACTCGCATCACATTATTACTCAGGGATCCCAGTCAGGGCTGGGCGATAAGGCCTCAAATCTATATTGCGATATAATCTGAAGCATGTGCGGTAACGATATGTATTGAGATATATTTTTTCCTCTGTTTATATGTCAAAATGACATGCTTTTAAATATCCTCTTGTGGCAAATATATGCCACATGAGGCATATAGCCCTTCTCCTCCGCCCACTCCATGCTTGCAGTCACTGCCATTCTGTTGCCCCAATGTCAGCAGGGTGCACATCTTAATGGCGTCATGTGTTATCGTATATATAGGGATCGGGAGGTCGACAGGCGGACTGGTTCGGCGTCTGCAGTGATGCGGACGCTGAGCCGATCTGCCGTGGTGAAGAGGGAGCTGAGCCAGAAAGCCAGGCTCTCGATTTACCGGTCGATCTACGTCCCAATCCTCACCTATGGTCATGAGCTTTGGGTAATGACCGAAAGAACGAGATCGCGGATACAAGCGGCCGAAATGAGTTTCCTCCGTAGGGTGGTCGGGCTCAGCCTTAGAGATAGGGTGAGGAGCTCGGACATTCGGGAGGGACTCGGAGTAGAACCGCTGCTCCTCCGGATCGAAAGGAGCCAGTTGAGGTGGTTGGGGCATCTGGTCAGGATGCCTCCTGGACGCCTCCCCGGGGAGGTGTTTCGGGCATGTCCTGCCGGCAGGAGGCCCCCGGGTCGACCCAGGACACGTTGGAGAGGTTACATCTCCAATCTGGTCCGGGAACGCCTTGGGGTCCTGCCGGAGGAGCTGGTGGAGAAGGCTGGGTAGAGGACGGTCTGGAGTTCCCTAGTTGGGATGCTGCCCCCGTGGCCTGGACCCGGATAAGCGGAGCGAGACGAGACGAGATGTGTTATCGTGATATCGTGGTATTGCAATATAGCCAAAAACTCTATCATTACCCAATTTTATATCATTTCTACCTTATATCGTTTATATTGCCCACCCCTAATCCCAGTTACCTAAAACCCCTTGTCCTCCGATGGCATAGATCCTGTTGTTGACAACCACCAGCCCGTGGTTCTTCCTGGACTCTTTCATCCCACACAGCTCTCGCCACCTGAAAGGTTCAGTTAGTTAAAACAGACAACTGCCTCAGCGGTCAAGCCCCAAAAGGGACTTGCCTCAAAAACAAGCGGGCTACAGGAGACTTGTTGTTTTCTAAAAGGTGAATGGACTTCTAGAGTTCTACAACCCCTAACCCTTACAACTAACCAGTCATTCGCCCATGCACACACACACTCACATGCTGATGGTCAACAGAGGCCGAGATCTACCACACCAGACAAGACCCAAGGTGTAGGCTACGCAAAGAGCCCCCCCTGAGACACTGCAGAACTCTCAAGCTCCCAGGCCTCTGGTAGAGGACCTGAGCTTAGAAGGAGACCGCCCACAGAGGGTGAGGTGGGAATTATACATGTGCGATATTTGTTCAGCGCTGTGTGTTTGTGTGACTCACTGTTGTGTGTTGGGATCATACACCTCACAGTTGTTGAGCATCCTCCCAGACACGTTGTTGCCCACCGTTCCTCCACACACATAAATGAGCCCGTTGGCCTCCACTGAGCCGTGACAGCAACGGGCCATCAGCATGCTCGCCTTCACCTGCCACGACTCCGTTCTTGTGTCATAACACTCAAAAAGGTTCAAGGCTGAGCTTCCTGTACACACACACATACAGCTGTTTAGTTTAACATCATCATTAAAGAGCAAGTCACCCCCTACAAGAAGCGTACTTCACTCCCACTTCATGTTTGAAAAATGCAACAAATGCTGTTGCCTAGCAGACCGAGAGGGTGGAGCCACTAACAAATACACACACTCACGACATTGTGACATCATAATGTACCAGTTTACATCATAGCATACCTCTTAGCCAATATCGGTGGCAGATTTAAATTCAAATGCAGTGCAGAGTTTTTACCTGACAACGGCACAACACTGACAGTTTCAGGCAGAAAATTTAAATTGTAACTAAAATGCACTAAAGTGCAAAACTATTGACTATACGTGTCTGCAGCACAATTAGACATACATTTATATAGTTTATCAGAAAAAAAATAGTTGATTTGGGGGTGACTTGCTCCCAAACTGCTTATTTACTCCTGATAAAACACCAATCTCTTAATCTTTACGCTCACCAACTTCTGACCCTCCAGACGTGTAGATCTTGCCCTGAGAAGCACAGGCTGCCAGGCTGTCACGAGGTGTGGGTGGGCCCAGCTTGGAGTACCAGCTGTCCTTCAGAACATTGTAGCAGTCCATCCGCTTGATGGGGAACAGCTGTGAGCCCCCCAGGATGTACACCACGTTGTCCCAGAAGACGGCGGTGGCGTCCCGACGCTTCTCAAAGGGGCAGCGGATGTCGGTCCAGCTGGAGTCCTGCATGAAAAACACCGGCACCTGACTAGAATGATATAACGGCTTGCTGTGCTGAAATGTTGTACGAAGTTAAAGTCCCATTAGTCATCACACACTGGTGATATTCATCTCCACATCCGACCCATCCCCGTGGGCTGCGCTCGGGAACTACTTGGCGGTTTAACCCCCAATCCAACCCCTTAAAGCTGAGTGTCAAGCAGGGAGGCGTTGGGTCCCACTGTTAAAGTCTTTGGTATGACCCGACTGGGATTTGGACCCAGTCCCAGTGCGGACACTCTACCACTAGGCCACTGAGATGGCAGCAGCAACAAAGCAGAATCAAAATAAGCATAAACCATTGCTCTCAGTGTATTACACTCATCTGTGTTTCATGCCTGATTTCAGCATGTTTGTCCTCAGGTGTGAGCAGGTACCTTTGGGTTGAAGTAGCGACAGGACTGAGACTGTGAGCCTCCAAACAAAGCAATGCGGTAGTCGTGTTTTTTGCGTCGAGGCCGGCTGCTCTCACCCAGGTCCTCTCGATCTTCCAGAGACAGCAGGTGGTACCGCATCCCGCCTGGAACAGAACCGTCACCTGTTTTAGTTTGTTGCTCATGCAAACACAGCTGGGTTTTGCTCTGGTGTCAAATCAACATAGAGGTTTGCTCAGTGAACAAAACATTTTACGTGATAAATGTATTTAAACGTCTGACCACATCCTCATGGGAGCCCCCTTTCAATCAGCTCAATTCCCACCTCCAACAAACACGTCCCGGGGGAGGTGGAGGACACCGAGTCTGAGTGGGCCGTGTTCTGTGCCTCTGCAGGTGGTCGGTGCCTGTCACCGCAGAAAAAACCCCAAACCCAACGGCGAACACTCGAGGTTAGGGATGCTGCCAAGCTGAAGGAGTTCTATCGGGTCTTTTTGGCTTGTGAAACTCCAGAAACAGCTGATCTTAGGTGGTCACAAAACTCTGGGGTGGGAAGACTTTCGGGAGGCCATGGAGATGGACTTCTCTACGGCTTTGAAGATATTCTGGTCCACCAACAGTGTTTATAGTGGGGACGGTGTGCCGCTGACCTAGTGGATCAGTGGACAGAGTACACTGAAGACTTCCTTAATCACACCACCGACACGTCTTCCAGTGAGGAAGCGGAGTCTGGGGACTTTGGGTCAGACTCATCCATCTTTAGAGCTGAGGTCACCAAGGTGGTCAAAAAGCTCCTCAGTGGCAGCCCCAGGGGTGGATGAGATTCGCTCAAAGTTCCACGAGGAAGCTCCACAATATTACACAGACTTCAGGGGCAGTTCCACTGGATTGGCGAACACTTACCCCCAAATTCCACTACCTCCGCTCCGCTGCGCTCCGCTCCGACACGAACGCCGGAGCAAAATCGGTCCCGTTCTAGTCAATCAGAGCAATTCCACTACTGCGGCCGTGCTCCGGCCGTGCTCCGGCAGTGCGGCGCCGTGCGGCGCCCTCTGTTCCGGCGTCCGGCAAAAATAGAATCGATCCTATTTTTGCCGGACGCCGGAGCACCTCCGCAGTAAATGGACAGAAATCACAACGGCCCAACAGGAAAAGGAGCAAGCACATCTTCCGTTTTTCACAATAAATCGCTAAACAAAAGGCGTTTTTTGTTTCATATGCACAGGTTTAACAACTTTTAACAACTATCAATGACGGCTGAAGTTTAAATGCACAAAAATAAGCCATAAATACAGTTGCCACTATCAAAGTAGTCACACTTTGTTGATCCAAACACTGCTGATCTCTCAACACAAATGATGGGCAGATTAAACAGCTCATTTCCGATGCTTCTCCCGCACAACGGGTGTTTGGATCTAACTTCCGCGTTTATTGCTCGGACTGTATCGCAAGATCTCGAAAATCCCGCGCATGCTTGTTTGCCCCCCTCAGGTCTCCGCACCGGAGCGGAGCCGTTGTAGAGCGGGTACCAGTAAAAATTGAGTTCGGAAGCGAGCGGCTGCGGAAGGCGGGGGCGGACCGGAGCGGAAGTAGTGGAATTTGGGGGTTAGACCTCAAATTCAGGATTAGCAGTAACATTTTCATTCAGATTGTGGAACACTGGACCAGCCCCATATCCTTAACAGGGTCCTAGAAGGTGCATGCGAGTTTGCTACATGTGCTTTGTGGATTTGGAGAAGGAACTGTGTCCCTTGAGGATCCTTGTGGGGGGTTACTCGGGAGCACGAGGTATCAGACCTGTTGGTACAGGCTTGTAGGTCCTTGAGTGTTCGGCTTGGTCTGCTTTGCTGTTAGTACTTTTGGCTCATTTCCAAAGAGTTGGACTCTGCAAAGGCTGCCCTCCGTCACAGAGTCTGTTCATTACTTCGATGGACAGGATTTCTAGGAGCCAGCAAGTGGAGGGAATTCATTTTGGTTGCAGATAATACGGTCCTGTTGGCTTCATCAATCTGCAATCTCTAACTTTCACTGGAGCGGTTCGCAACCGAGTGTGAAGCAGCGGGGAGTGGTCGTGAGGGATCGTGAGTTGGAAGAGGGTAGAATGCCCTGTCCTAAGTCGAGTAGTTAAAGTACCTCGGGGTCTTGTTCACCAGCGAGAGAAAGATGGATTGGGAGATCAACAGGCGGATTGGTGCTGCATCTGCAGTGATGTGGGCGTTGTACTGGTCTGTCGGGGTGAAGAGCGAGCTGATCCGGAAGGCAAAGATCTCAATATACCGATTGATCTACGTTCCTACCCTCACCTATGATCACGAGCTTTGGTAGTAAGATCACAGGTACAAGCGGCCAAAATGAGTTTTCTCCGCAGGGTGTCTGGACTCTCCTTTTAGAGAAAGGGTGAGAAGCTCTGTCATCTGGGAGGGGCTCGGAGTAGAACCGCTGCTCTTCCACATCAAGCAGAGCCAGTTGAGTTGGTTCGGGCATCTGGTTAGGACACCTCCTGGTGAGGTTTTCCGGGCATGTCCAACTGGAAGGAGACCTAAAAGAAGACCCTGAACACGCTGGAGGGACTATGTCTCTCGGCTGGCCAGGGAACACTGTAGGATTCCGCTGGATGTGCTAGCCTAAGCAGCCGGGGTGAGGGAAGTCTGGGTCACTTTGCTTAGGCTACTGCACCTGCGAGCTGACCCCGTATAAGCAGACAAAAACAAATGGATGGACCACATCCTCTAGCTTTGTACTCACTGATGACCATCTTGAGGCACTGTGGGTTGTCCTGAATGAGGGGCTCAGCCTGTATGGTCTTTGAGAGGAACGTCTTGGAAACCAGAGGAAAGCGAACACATCCCAACACCTCCACCATGTGCTGTTTGCGATTGGACACATCATACTTCAGCCAACGCACTGCAGCATCATAAATCTAAATTCAACAAAGCATGGAAACATATGTTACAGGAAAAGTTTTGTTCCGTTTGAAGGGAAACAACCTGATTAGTGTGTACCTGAGCCTCAGCACGGACAGTTAGTTTGTCCTGATGTAGCAAATGCGTGAGCTGGGAAACGTCGAGCTGCAAGAACTCATCCAGCTTGTAGACTTCTGTGAAATGAAGCTGGAAAAAGTCCTCCGCTGCAGACTTCAGCTCTGGACAATCCATACAGTCTGCAAGGGCTGAGATACCTGCAGAAGGACCAGGCACAGGCCAGTAAATGCAACCACTTGAATAAATAAATACTGGACTTAGATTTGTATTCGAGGCCATTACCCAGACAGTTTGTTGCATCAATCTGTCCTTTAAGGAACTCCACACACATCTTCTTCACTGGCTCTATTTGGTACTGGTTGGCTGCATCCAGCAATGACTGGACATTACTACTGTTGACCGAGATTCTAAAGATCAAAGAAGTGACACACCTCACCACCCATGAAAGGAAAAATACACATCTTGCATAAAATAAATCTCCACAGGAGTCAGAATAAATACGGGTGTTGCTGGTTGTTTTTATTTACAGGAAGAGTCTCACCTTGCCGTGTAAATAAATTCAATCAACAGCTCAATAATTTCTGGCTCAGCACTCCTGAGCTCCACCTCATGGGACATCGACTCCATCATTCTGGCTAAAAAGGAAGAAATCAGACACAAAGTTATAGCACTGAAACAAAAGGGAACTAAAACCTAAAGTAAGTGTAGTTATTTTAACCAGGTAAGTGAACCCTAATGTGATTGTGGTTTGTGTCAAACAACATTCCTGATCTTTTATAATGGGAAGACCAAAGTTTTTTCCTGTTCAAAGGGAGTTTTCCTCTGTTGTCGTGATTTGACGTGAAATAAATGAACTGAAATGAACATGCCTATGTGTGATGGTATCATCATAACTGAAAATTTTCTCTTTAACCTCCTGATAGTGTGTGTGTTCTTGTACATACTACATACTGAGGACCATTTTTCCTACAATGTGAGGACATTTTTCAAAGTAAGGAAATTTATTTGGTCCTCACGTTTTTGAGATGCATACCAGAAGCTTACTATACCAGTTAGAGGTATAGTGTGAATTAAGTTTTAGTTAAGGTTAGGAATAGATGAGCGTTTTGTTATGGTTAGGGTTTGGTATGGGTTAGGCATGGTGAACTCACAAAAATGAATTAAAGTCAATGGAGGGTACTCACTATGATAGAAAGACAGACATGTGTGTGTGTGTGTGTGTGTGTGTGTGTGTGTGTGTGTGTGTGTGTGTGTGTGTGTGTGTGTGTGTGTGTGTGTGTGTGTGTGTGTGTGTGTGTGTGTGTGTGTGATATTTGACTCTTACTGGTAAACATGAGGCTGAAGACCTGGCTGGCAGCTGCGAGTACAACTCTGTGTGCAGGAAGGTGTTTCCCCTGAACCACTAGAGTCACATCACACAATGTACCCTTTGAGAGAAAATACAAACATTATTATTATTATTTCTAAAGCTAGTTTTTATGTACATGGCATAAAGGCAGCAATACCTGTTTTCTCAGGTTGTTCATGACTCCCATGATGCTGGACAGCTGCCTGTACTCCTCTTTAGAGGCACACTTCCTCTCACTCTTCTTCTTGGAGCTTGTTGCCTTCTCCGGAGAGGCCATCCCCGTCATGCCAGGTTTTCTTATTGTCTGCTGACGCAAATAAAACGTCCTGCACCACTGCTAGCAGGCACGACGTATCTACCGGGTCGTCTTTGTTGTCACTCAGCCACTAAATTTCCAGCTCACAACAGTTTATTGTTAGTTTGACAGCAGAAGGTCCCGTTATGATGTCAAGTTTCATTTCAGCGTTGACTTCCTCTTATTATTGAAATATAAACGATAAAACGAGTTTACAAACCGTTTTAGCTAAAGCTCAATACGCTGTTCTTCTTCTATGGTACATGAAGTTCTTCTTGGCAGACAACTTACAGAAGGAGTGTTTTGCTGCCCTCTTCTGTTTGCAGAACTGAATTGTTAACAAACTGCTACAAAGTGCGAAGGAATTCAAAGAAAAAATATTTTAAGGGAACCATCTTGAAACCAAAATGTTATTAATCGTAGTTAATACATACGGAACATTTTGGACCTGTTTTAACTGTCAAACTTTCTAATGATATCTATTTTTCCAACCTGTACATTAGCTTTAGATAAATGTCCATTAAATATTTACCATTTCTTTAAAAAAAACGCTGCATGTATCAGGGGGAAAAAAACCTCTAAATTATTTCAAATATAAAATGATTTTATTTTACAAATCTTGAATGAAATCTGTAAGTGAATCCGCAAACAAGCTAGGTTATAAAGCAGAGGTGGGCAATCCTGGCCCTCGAGGGCCGCTATCCAGCAGGTTTCTCTGCTTAAACACACGTGGTTTAATCTGATGGTGATTACAGGCTGCTGCAGAGCCCGAAGGGCTGCTGAACAGGTGATTCATTCCAGGAATCAGGTGTGTTGGAGCAGGAAAACAACTAAAACCTGCTGGATGGCAGCCCCTGAGGACCAGGACTGCTCACCTGTTTTAAACACAAACACGGTCACGGAAGACTCCTAGCTCTATAGATCCTTACATTAACACTTTATATGATAAAGAAAAAAGTAAACAAAAAAATGAATATATTCAACAGGGACTCTGGTAGTTTGTCCTAAAGCTGAAGTGGTGGCAGACGGCTGTTTCTCCTTATCTGATATTATTGAGTGGAGAACCTCACACCAGTGGTGTTCTGCTGCTAAATACGCGAGTGTGTGATGAGTGGAGGACCCAGGCAAGTGCAGTGCTCTGGTGAGACCGACAACTGGATGGTCTAGTGGTTGCTTTTGGCATGAAGCATGTTATTGGTGGAGGTTTTTAGACAAATGCAAGAGAACCACTTTGTTAATTTTATGAAAGCAATCTCAGGAATGTATTTGTGGCCATACTATGTAACTAGAACGTTGTTAAGAGGCAAGAAAAAATGTTTTAAGCTAATTTGTTTTACACATTTGCCACAGTAGCTCATGAGATAAACGACACATTTTATGTTTAAAATAGATGAAATGTTGATTGTATTTAGGTAGACTGAACTGCTATTTGCTTTACTTATCTGAGGGACAGCGGCTTATCTCTTACTAAAGACTGAGGCTCCTCAGTAACGGTGTTATCTATATCCATCCATCCATCCATCCATCCATCCATCCATCCATCTAAAGAATATTTGTAATATGAATATGAATCTTAGAATAAAATGTCTAAATGTTATTGAACTTGATTATTAGCTTTGATGACATAACTTCAGTTGAAGAACAAACAATGACACAAAAAGCATTGTCAGCTATATTATGTCTTTGTGTGGACATTACAGTAAAGCGGTACACTCTATTGAAAAACTTCTGAAACCCTTTCAGTTGTTTTCTTTTTGGATGGTCTGCAGCTTGTTTTCTTCTTTGTGTTCATTTCTCTGAACGTCCCTCTTTTGATCTTTTCCAAAGGCACAACATTACCTTTGCTAACTTGTTGGGAGTTGAAGTACAAAGGATGAATTAGAAGGACAGTAAAACATTTCTGAATGACAAATAACAATCATGTCGAGAATTTATATGCCATACTGGCTTTAAAACGTTGTTGTAAGTTGTATAAAGTTATTATAACCTGCTTAACTGTGGTTGTTTTATTCACCCTGTGAGCCTGCAGCCGTAAACTGGTTAGTTCTGTCATCGCACCTGTAGCTGCACGCGCACCTGTTCTTCCTGTAAAACGTCCCCAATAACATTTTTTCGGGAGTCACCTGACGCTGACGTCATGTGGAATGTAGACGTAGAAATAAACACATAGATGTTGACTTTATTGCCGACACTCGTGTAACGCGTCACTGAAGCCGCCATCTTGGTGCGGGCTACCGCTTTCCTGAAATCCTTAGTAGTGTGATTTAGAGAAGGTTAAAATGATACACAATTACTCGATTAAAATTGTAGTCTAGGAATACAAAAATTTAATATCTTCATTAAAACTTAACCCCACACAAGCAGGCATGTAAACGGCGAATACATTACACAAAAGTAATTAAAAAAAAATTTAACCATGCCTAGGTTGCAAAACTTAATAATATTTATTCTGTAAAACTTTATTAATATTTATTCTGTAGGCTTACGTCTGCTGTTGCAACATAAAATGAATAAATATAGACTACTGACATGTGAACAGTAGCCTAAATATACAGCCTAACCGTTATTATTATTATTATTATTATTATTATTATTATGTGTTTATTTATTTTTAATGATAAAAAATTTGTTTCCTTACTTTAGATCTCTTGCTCCAGCGATGCTGATTCAATTCCAGATCTTTAGAAAAGAAAGATTAAAATGAGACATTCACCTCTCTCTCTCTCTCTCTCTCTCTCTCTCTCTCTCTCTCTCTCTCTCTCTCTCTCTCTCTCTCTCTGTGTGTGTGTGTGTGTGTGCGCACAGCAAAGGTTAAGTGTTCTTATAAAAAGTTTTAATGGCGTCTTTTAACTTGGGTATCCTGCAGGGAACTGTTTGGGTGGTTTATTCACGTTGGGGTGCGTGTGGGTGAGCGTTGGCTGCAGGTAGCACGAGGTGCAATCGAGGAACGATCGATCAGAAGTAACGTCCGATTTACAGGTAAAACAGCAAGCTGATCCAATACCCGTCACAAGATGGCGACGATGTTGACGCGTGTCAGCTCTAGTAGACTTTTAACGTGTACATCTATGGGATGTAGACTTCAAACGCACTGCTTAAATTCACTGACCTGAAAACGAGCCCAGACGCAACAAGCTGCAGAAAAATGCTTCGATTTCTTTGTTGTTGCTGCGATTTGGGTGAAAACTCTGAGGTATGTTAGAGCTGAAATGTTTCAGGTCATTTGTAGGAAAGTGAAACTTTCTAAGAGTTTTAGTCTCCAGCTGGCTTTGTATGAAATGTGCAGTCATGTTCCTCTGTAAACAGAACTACCATCGAGAAGGATATGTGTTGTTTATTCTCTTGTGCCTCTTTTATGCAAGAATGAATAAATACCCAAACTCCTTGTTTCAGAGGCAGCCTCTGCTTCAGCCCAGGTCAGCCAGGCAGACCTGCCCCACTCCCAGTGGTAAGCCATGTCTGATTCCTGAAGCATTTGGATCTTTAGTCAGGTGTTTGCAGTTTCCTCCGATGTGTTTTTCAGATTCCCAAAATGAAAAACGGATTGGACGACTGACAATGAGGCGAGTCAATGTCCCAGAGCTGGATCAGAGGTTTACTGATGTCGCTGAGTCCTTCAATGAGCAGCAGGAGCACCACGAGGCCATGCTCCAACACATCAGAAACCTGAAACAGAGCTGGGACTGCACTGGCACTGATACTCAGAACTTTGCTGACTGTATTAAGAAGATTCGGGATGAGCAGCGTGAGTGATGCTTTTGTTTTCATTTCGAGCCTTGTCGCAGATGTCTCATGTTTTGGCCCATCACTTTGTCCCTTCAGAGGCCACGTACCGGATCTCCTTGAAGATGAAGTGCTATGACTTCTCCCTCACCGTGGAGCCTGTTCAGGAAGAACACGATGAGCAGCCACTGCCTCCAAATCTGAAGTTAGCACAGGATGAAATCAAGGGTCTTTCTGACAGCGCCAAGGCCACTGTATCAAAGGGAACGCCACTTCAGCAGCTCATCAGCTGGATGCTGCAGGGACAGGGTCAGATGGCTCAGCAGGTGAAGGAGGCAGCGGGAACTTTCCAAGAGCAAGGAAGACTGACTGCGAATCTGGATGAGAACATCAAGGAAGTGAGGAGGGCAAAGGAGTTGTCGCTGGGATACAGGAAAGTGGCTGCAGAGGTTTACAACGAGGCTGCACAGATAGCTGGAGTTTGTGTCTAAATGTTTGTGTTTTCACCCGAAGCATCGCAGGTAAAGGAAATCTGCTCCTGGTGGAATGAGATTAGGTCTTTTTCAATTGTATCCTGATTTGTCGCCTATTTTTGTCGCTCAGGTCATCTGACCAGTTGCTCCTGGACGTTCCAAGGACACAGCGTAAGCTCGGCGGGGATAGGGCCTTCGCTGTTGCTGCTCCCAGGCTATGGAACTCTTTGCCGGCACATGTTAGAAAGGCCTCCTCACTGGAAACTTTAAAATCGTCTTTAAAGACCCACCTTTTTAGCATGGCTTGCGACACCTTGTGAAAGTTTGGATTTCTATTTGATTTTAGTGTTTTATTTTATTGTGCTTTTAACTTTATTCTGTATTCTATTTTATCCTGTTTTATGCTTTTATGTTTTTACGTTCAGCACTTTGGTCAGTGAGGGCCGTTTTTAAAGTGCTTCGTAAATAATGTTGGCTTGGCTTGTTTTTACTCTGACTTTAGTAAAATTTCCTGTTAAAAAAAACAAATGCAGCAATGATCATAGACACTCAGCTTCATGAAAACCCTGAAAGACAACAAATGCACAATTTTATCACTTAAACAAACGAGACTCCATAGTGGAAAATAAAACACAAATGTCAATCATTTTTATTTTTTTAAATTATTTCTTTTCAAGATATTTTCATATCTTCAATATTTTCATTCTCCTTTTGATCAATGTTGTTTTTTATTTTGATAATTTAATGATTTCTTTTCTTCATTATCTTTGCCCACATGTTTGAGTTTAGTTTTCTGTTAAGAGATGTGTTTTTGATTATTTTGCAACAAAAATTGTTCATATTAACATAAAAAAAACTAAATTAAGCCATAACCTTTTTATTTACAGCTCACTGAAGTTACTATTTCACATGTACTCCAATTTGGGTTGAAATCACAGTTTTCTTTCACTGTGACTTAAATAAACAGAAACATAAAATTTCATGGGACAAGTCAGCTAAAACAAAATATGTGTTCGCTATTCTTGTAAAAAATAATGCAGGAATACGGATAATACCCCACGCCTTGCCTGCTGGAATGAAGCTACACATTCTGTCTTTTGCTGAATCTGCAGTTGCACTGTTTTTTCCATGCATTTCTCTCTAAAACACACTTTCAGGGACGGGATGACTATCAGCGACACGTAAAGGTTGAGGGGGAAACAATTTTCTCCTTGTGTTTTCTTGATCAGGTGTGCTGAGATTTCAATGAACAACCTGCCTTTTCTGGTTGGTTTATTTCTGAGCGCGTGGTCTTCTAACTAAAGGGGGCGCTGCAGACTCACTTTACATTTATTAAACTTCTACTTCAAGTAAATTGGAAAATAAATAAATCCAAATCTCAGCACCAAAATAAAGAATGTCATAATATTCATCTCTGCACATATTTGTTTCTGTAGTTCACCGATGTGTTTAAGGTAAAAACTACACACAAATTTATCGTGTCAAATATTCGCTGACGATAAAATAAGTTTGAATTCATATCAGGATAGGAAGTTGAACTGGAGACTGTGTTTTTGTTGCAGTATTCTGATAAAGCAGATTGAAACTAACTTTTTACGAGAATCAACAGCACTTCAGCTTTTTCCAGTTAACCAGGCAAACACATTTTAAAATGAAAAAAGTCTAACACAGAAATGTTATATGTGGTGTTTTTAAAATAGTTTTTATTAAACCCCACAGTAGTGCAATAGTGCAACACAATATATTATTTTAACAGGCGAGAAGGGTGTTTTATTTAAAAGAAAACTAACTAGTGAATACATTTTATTCAACATTTTTGAACGAGACATCGCATTTTTATCATTATTGTTTATTTTATTAAATTTAGGGCATTTTTGACAGACCATCCGGCTGTCAAAGAGCAGTGACTGACAGCGACAACTAACCTCTTAGTGGTTAAGTTCAGCCTATCTTCCAATTTGATTAGATAGCGCATTTTAAAAGGCGTGGTCAACATTGTCATACTGCTCTCCTATTGGTTTAGATTTCTGTCACTCACTTGAGTTGGAGTCAACCTCGTCTCGAGCGGAGAAAGTATAATGAAGATGCAAGAAGGAGCTGGTGGCGGTGTTGAATTAAGGAAGTTTATGAAGTAGCGAAGCGGAATCTGTTTACTTTTCTTCCCGGGAACGAAAAAGGACAGTGACCCCTGGAAACCGACAAGATAGCATGCCAGTAAGTGAGCGGTAACTATCTCGGTTGGTTGTTGTAGCGCTGTAGCCCGGGAGCTAGCTGGCTAGCTAATATGGATGCAGCCGAGGTGACAGCTCCGAGTCATTCAGCATGCCGCGAGAGAGAGAGCCGTGACGGCGGAGGATTAATTCACACTCTCTGATTCACGCCGTCGTAAAAATCCGACAGAACAAATCCACAGAAGCTGCTGATTTTCACTCCGAGCGACGTTTATATCGTCATAAAATGTATGTTTCCTCTTTATGTCAGTCACAAACCAGACTGTGGTCAACAAAGCTGAGCGGTTCAGGCACAAGTGTAGTTTCCGATTAGATCAAGATTAACTAAAAACAATTTATGGTGGGGCATTTTATGTTGGATTAGAATATTTCTTTTGAGTTTAAACTGTTTTTATTGATGATTTCTTTGTGAAAAGTGCAGATGTTGTACCTGACAGCAGTGTGTGGGTGTGTTGGGGGTTTCAGGTGCGTTTTATTTGTGTTTTTCAGCAGCAGCAGGTTAGATAAGATGGTTTTAACATGCTGTCACGTGAAGCAGATTCCCCTTACGCCTCCCTGACAGATCAGGGGTTTCCCGAGTGAGAGGTGTGAGGATTTACACACACGTTTGACATTCTGGAGTTGTTTGTGTCTCAAAGTATTCATTACAGACCCGTGTGTGTGTTTGCCTGACACTAGGGAGATGTTTAGCTTATAGGGATTAATAGATTTTTTTAGGGGGCTGTTCTTTTGTAAATAAACATAAAAAACAAACCAAGGACATTCAAAATGCAGTTCTAAAATTCTGTTATCAGGACAGGCTATCCAAACTAACCTGGCTCTATGTGAAATTGTAAACAACCCCTGAACCTCATAACTGGTTGTAACATCATTGGAGACAACTGCAGTTAGTGTTTGTTATAACTGTAATACGTCTCACATCACCGTGGAGCTTATTTGTCCTCCTATTCAGCCACACTGGTGGGTTCACCGGCAAGCATGGCCAGTTTTAAGGTGATTCTGCAGCTCAGACTGTAATCAGACCTGAATCATTAATCAAACTAAACTCCGCTTCCTTTAAAATGTGGTTAATCACAAGAGGTCAGGCACTTTTTCAACAAAGGACTATGTTTGTTTAAATCAGGAGTAGACAGTCCTGGTCCTGGAGTGCTGCTATCCAGCATGTTTTAGTTTTTTGCTGTTCCAACACATGATTTAAATCAGTGGGTAATTAACATGCTTCCGTAGAGCTTGATAACTTGGTGAACAGGTAAATCCACCATTCAAATAGGCGTGTTGGAGCTTAAACATGGATAGTGGCACTTAAGGACCAGGGGTCTCATTTATCTAACATTGCGTAGAATCCTTACTAAAACCGTTCTTAAGTTCAGCAAAAAAAATTTGATTTGTGCCAAGTAGGTTTGTGACCTATACATGGAGTACGCACAGCTGCACGCAATCTCCGCTTCATAAATCGAAGACTAACGAGAATGTTTCTCAGCTGCATTTTAGTCACATCCCGCCCTCACCACGCCCACTTACTGCCATAAATAGTCAATGCAATGTGCCTTGTGGATCTCATGCATATACATAAGCCGGCTTGTTGCAGCATTTCGATCACGACCGCAGATCAAGAAAGCGCCATTTCACAGAGGCAGAAATTCAGGTACTTGTGGGTGAGGTGGAGAAATGAGAGGAAGTGATTTTGCAAAACAAATAAGAGAAAATCCACGGAGTGGCACAGCGTTGCTGAAGCCGTCAATGCTGAGTTCTTCAGAGAGATCTGTGGTGGATATAAAAAAAAAGATCCTATCAGGATTCGATTCCCAGACTCCCGGGTGAAAGTCACGCGCGCCAACCAGTCAGCCAAACGGTGATGTCCCTTGTCCAACTTGCCAGGGCACATGATCAGTCGGGTCACAGTGACAGGACACACACACTGTCACAGACGCATGACATTCTGTCTCAATCTGTCCCCCTGCTGATTTTCTGCCTTCCGTATTCTGCGCTTCAGTCTGTGTGTGTGTGTGTGTGTGTGTGTGTATGTGCGTGTGGGGGGTCTTGTTCTGTGTGAAAACGAAGCAGTACAAGTGATGATGCTGCAGGATTTCATAATTTTGTCCTTCTCAGCAGCAGCACTGCAGGTGCTCTCCATGTCCAACATGTGCGTAAGCAAGGTCCTTAGTCAGCTTAAAGTTGCGCACATTTTTCCGCTAAGTTTTCTTTCATAAATCCCAAAGTTTGCGTGGAAAGTTGCTTACGCAGTTTTCCGACCCCGTCTTGTACGTAAGCAAGCTTGATAAATGATGCCCCTGCGACCTTTCCTGAAGCGCAGAATACGGAATGCAGAATATCAGCAGGGGGACAGATTGAGAAAGAATGTCATGCGTCTGTGACAGTGTGTGTGTCCTGTCACTGTGACCCGACTGATCATGAACCCTGGCTACTTGTATAAGGGAGATCTCCATTTCAGTGACTGGTTGGCGCACGCAACTTTCTCCTGGGAGTCTGGGGATCGAATCCCGATTGGACCTTTTTTTTTTTATATCCGCCCCAGATCTCTCTGAAGAATTCACAACATTGACGGCTTCAGCAACGCTGTGCCACTCTGTGGATTTTCTATTTGTTTTGCAAAAGCACTTCCTTTCATTTCTCCACCTCACCCACAAGTACCTCAATTTCTGCTTCTGTGGAATTGCGCTTCCTTGATCTGCCTTCATCTACCATCGCCATCGTCATTGGCGGAGCGCTGCAACAGCCGGCTTATGTATATGCATAAGATCCACAAGGCACATTGCATTGACTATTTATGGCAGTAAGTGGGCGTGGTGAGGGCGGGATGTGACTAAAAGCAGCTGAGAACCTTTCTAGATAGTTTCTGATTTATGAAGCGGAGATTGCGTGCAGCTGTGTGTACTCCATGTTTGAAAGATCACAAACCTACGTGGTCTAAGTACTTTTTTTTGCTGAGCTTAAGTACAGTTTTAATAAGGATTCTATGCAGTGTTTGATAAATGAGACCCCTGGATAGGCTACTCCTGGTTTAGGTGGTTTAAACGAAATCATTAGAAAACTACATGTTGTATTTACTGGTTTTTTTGTGTCTGATATTGAAATTTGTTTGCAGAACTGGAACTTTTAAGTCTAATAAAAAGAGAAGTAAAAAGTAATGTTTCAGTAGACAAATACCTTTGACAGTACTGTGTGTGCATTTGAAGTGGCGTCCATGGCTGCTGGTGTCTCCGACCTCTTATTGCTGTTTGACATCAAAGCTCATAAGGCCACTAAGCGGGAACATCATGCTAGCTGTGCTGTCATACTGCATCACAGAAAGGCACCCACGCCAGAGTGTTCATAGAGTTAACTAATTTGCATCTGCACACAAATCGGTGGAACGTATGGAGTTTCCTCAGCAAAAGTATTCATAGTTTGTTGTATCTGATGTTGTGCAGCTTATTGTCTACATTCGAAGTGGTGTTCAAGGCTGAACATTCAGCGAGTTATGTAATACCGACAAATAATCTGAGAGGAGAAAAAAAGTGTGCAGAAAAGCAAGTGTTGAGTTTCTTACTCATAGTCTCCTTGGGCACAGCTGCTTCAGGGAAGACAGGAAGTTGAAGGGACAGAGATGCATCAGTGGCTTGGAGGCAAAGGCGAAGAGAGCGTGGGCTGCTCTAAGAGGATGCCTCCTTGTCAGATCACTTTGCACCAAAACCACACACACCAACACAAGCCAGAGACTGTTGTCATGTCTGCTCCAGGCCATTCTCTGTTTTACACAGAAGCAGAGAAAACAGAACCTCAACAACAATCTGACTGACCCTCCTCTCCAGAACCCCTGAATAGACCTTACAAGGGAGGCTCAGGAGGATGATTCTGATTCCCACTTGTAACACACCCTGCGGCCCCCCTTTTTAAATAGGGGGACCACCACCCCAGTCTGCCAGTGCTGTGGAACTGCCCCAATGTCCGCGCGATATTGCAGAACTGCATCAGCCCTATGGCATCCAGAGCCTTAAGAAACTCTGAGCAGATCTCATCCACCCCCCAGAGCCTTGGTACCAAGGGGCTTTTTGACAACCTCTATGACCTCAGCCCTAGAGATTGGAAAGTCCAACCCAAAGTCCCGGACTCTGCTTCCTCACTATAGAAGATGTGCCGATGGGATTGAGGAGGTCTTCGGAGCACTCCGCCCACTGATCCACAACGTCCTGAGTCGAGGTCCGCAGCACACCATCCCCACTATAAACAGTGATGGTAGTGCACTACTTTCCTCTCCTGAGGCGTTGTATGGTGGACCAGAATCTCCTTGAAGCTGTACAGAAGTCTTGTTCCATGGGCTCACCAAACTCCTCGTGTGCCTGGGTTTTTGCCTCCGCGACCACCCGAGCCACATTCCACTTGGCCTGCTGGAACCCGTCAGCTGCCTCTGGAGTCCCAGGGGGCAAAAAGACCTGATGGGATTCTTTCTTCAGCATGACAGTATCTCTAACCGCCAACGGGTTCTGGAGTTGCCGCCACGACAAGCACTGACAACCCTGCTGCTACAGCTCTGGTCGGCCTCCTCAACAACGGAGGCATGGAACAGGGCACCTTCAGACTCCATGTGCCCCGCCTCCCTCAGAACGTTTTGGAAGTTCTGTCTGAGGTGAGAATTGAAGCTTCTTCTGATAGGAGACTCTGCCAGACATTCCCAGCAGACCCTCACAATACGTTTGGTCTGACTGGCATCCTCCTCCACCATCGGAGCCAACTCGCCATCAAGTAGTGGTCAGTTGACAGCTCCGCCCCTCTCTTCACCCACGCGTCTAAGATATGTGGCTGCAGATCAGAGGAAACAACAACAAAGTCGATCATCGAGCTGCGGTCTACGGTATCCTGATGCCTGTGAAACGGTGTGTATTAAACGTAAAATATGAAATATTACTTAGCTGAGTGAAAGAAAATGTCTGTAACCGGCAGAATGCTGCTGTGTTTGCTAGCTCGTAGTCCTCTTTATGGACTATTTTAAATGATCAGTCGCTTGTTTGCTTGTTTTGAGGTTTGGATCAGAACCTCACTCCACAGAAACGGCTTCTCTCTCCTCTGCTGTAGGACTTCTGATCACCAAATAACCATTATAACCATACTGACCTGCACTTGTCACTTTGTTTCTCGTGTTTAGTATCAATCTTTTTTTTCTTTTTGGTGCGTCCTATTTTTCACTTTCTTTACTCATATGTTTGCACCTTTCCACCCAATCAAATCCT